TGGTTGAACAGGGCTTGTGTCTGTGATGGAGGTGCACCACTCAGCTGGCCCTTCAAGAGAACCTGCTTCAGGGAGAACAGCGGACGGAGAACCTCTAGCTGTGATGTTCTTCCTGAGGCTACGCTTCCTCTGGTTTCTGCCATGGTGGCGACACCAGAAGCCAGCCGTTTCTGTCCGATGCAGGAAGCCCTAGCAGACTCCCTTGGCCTGGGCACTCCCCATCAGCCTGGCTGGGTCATCCCCCAAACCGCAGGGCAATCTGAAGCTCTTTCTATCCAAGCCTCCTTCCCTCCCGCTCCCTTTTCCCACTTACACCTGCATCTTGGTCTGAAGGCGCTCCTTCTCTTACCCGATTCCTTCCACCTTTATCCTATACAAGCATTTCTCCCAGGCAAAAACCATTATGGCATTTGATTCTCAGAGGACCCAGATCAAAATAGGGATCAGTGAAAAAATCCTAGAAGAGAGTTCATAAATAATAAGACTGTAGATACACTTGCAGAAGAGATTTATGTACCAAGATGTGCTGGATCCATTCTTCAAAATCTTTGTGCACACAAATCAGCTGGGAATGGTGTTGAAATGGACTCTGGTTCAATAGGTGTCTGGTGGACCCAAGATGCTGTATTTCTAAGAAGCTCCTAGGAGGTACTGATGCTGTTGGTCCAGGGACCAGTTTGAGCAGCAAGGGACTGGATTCTTTATTTGCCCCCTCAGTCTCTCCTCCCTGGGAGGGGTTGACGTCAGGAGGCTCTGAACCTCTGGCTAACAGGTTTGGCCAATGAGAATCACTGGCAAGAGATCAGGGGGCAGGAAGAGGATGAGGCCAGAGGTTTTTATTATTCTGGGCATTGCTTCTGCTGGGTTGCCATAGGCTGGCTGCACCCCTCTATTAGAGACCACAACTCCCATCAGGTACATTTCTCCAGCTTTCTCTCTCACAGAGCTCCGGTAACTGCTCTCTCTTCCCCCTTTAGGCCTGGACTGGTAATGGCTCCCTACTGTCATCAGCCTCTGAGTACTGCATCATCCCTTGTGGCTTAGTATCTGCCCACATATCTGTAATTAGTCCGTTAGTAAATGGTCCTCATTCCCCCAGCCAAATGTACCATCTGTCACCTGCTGGGACCCTGACTGCCACAAGTGCCATTCAACGCAGATTTTTTTTTAATAACAGCAGAAAACTGGAAACAACCTAATTGTGCATCATTAAAAAATGATTAAATAAATTATGGTACATCTGCTTAATGGTGTTATATGCAATCATTGAAAAGGATGCAATAGATCTACATTCACCTACATGGAAAGATGCCTAAGCCACTTGTTCAATGAAAAAAAGGGTGGGGGGGGAGGTTCAAAATAGCATGCATAGTAGCAACCCAGTGCTTTCAAAACTTTAAAAAAAAATGCATTTGTTAAGGCTTGGATTGCATGTAACAACCACCCTGCTCAAGACAAACCTAACTGAAAAGCACTGGGAGATGGGTAGCGGTTCTGACTCCATCTTTCTCCATCACTTGTCTCTGCTTTTCTGTATAGTGGCTTCACTCTCAGGCAGGCCATCTTTAAGTGGGGAGAGAGCAAGCCCCAGCCTATTTATGACAGCTGAGGACCTCAGCAGAGAGGGTCTTCTTCCCATCTGCTTTAACAAGAAATCCTGGGCTGAAGGCATTGGAATGGGCTTGGACATACACTAATCACTGAACCACTCAGCCTGAGAGTGGGGGAAGGAGGCTCCCCCAGAAAACAGAGTGTCTCTTTCCCGAGTAGGAGAGGTAAGACAGGTATAAGCAACAGAGATCCACCCTAGAGGGAATATTTGTAGTAGACCTTTGTTATCCTTTGGCTGCTCAGCATCAAAACCCTCTCCTATCCAGGTACCCTACCTTCTGGGGCACCACAGTGGAGCCTACCCCCCATTATGCATATTGAAAATGCTAAAAATGCACTTTCCCAGCTCCCTTTCTGCAAGGCAAAACACACTAGCTGGCCAGGCCACTCAGATAGATGCTCCCATCTCTGGCTCGGACTCTGAAGCCAGTGACACCAAAAAGGGCCTGTGCAGACTCCATCCTGGTGTAAGGTGCAGCTTGGCATGATTCGGGGCATTGTTCTTGGTTGTGGAGACTTCGGGCTGGTTCTCTGGCCCTTGTGGGATCTGTGAGCTATGAACAAAACCTCATATTAAATCCCCTTTCTTCTTAAATTATCCAGAGAGTTAATTTCTGCTACTTGCAATCAAGAAGCTTGATTAATGCCTGTAAGTAGGTGTGCATGTTTGAATACATATGAAATATTTTTATAAAGATAAAATAAATGTGACTATTGGTTACCTATGGGAAGTAGGACTGGGAAAGTGGAAAAGGGAAAGGAGCTTTTGCTTTCGCTTTATGCCCTTTTATACTGTTGGAATTTTTTTTTGTACCACGTATCTTAATTTTATGATGAAATAACTAGTTAGTAAAGTATAAGAAAAGACACCTTAATAAATAGAATAATACAAGGAAGCAGTTGCTCAGGATTTTCAAGGAACCAAGTCCTCCTTAGACACTGAGTAGGAAGTTGTTCTCATCTCTATTGGTGAATGAGGCCAAATCTGGAAATGAGTGACTGTGTACACTCACACCTTGTTTTATTGTGCTTTCCTTTATCATGCTTCCCAGATGTGGCATCTTTTATAGAGTGAAGGTTTGTGGCAACCCGGCATGGAACAAATCTATGAGCACCATGTTTCCACCAGCATTTGCCTACTTTGTATTGCTATCACATTTTGGTAATTCCTGCAGTATTTCCAACTTTTTCATTATGATTTCATCCATTTTGGTGATCTGTGATCAGTGATTTTTGATGTTAACTATTGCAAAAAGATTACAACTCAGCGGGCTTAGATGATGCTTAGCACTTTTGGCAATAAAGTATTTTTAAATTAAGGTATTTACAATGTGTTTTCAGACTATGGAACACTCACTACAGTACAGTGTAAACACAACTTTGATATGCACTGGGAAACCAAAAGTCACATGATCCTCCTCTTTGCAATGGCTTGGCACCAAACCCGCGTTATCACTGAGATATCACTGTACCACCTCCAACACTGCCAGTGATTGGCTCTGTCCCCATTAACTCACCTGCTCAAACATGTTCCATGATTATCCATTACGCACAGAATAAATCCCTGATACTGAAGCATTTCGCAATTTGAGCCCTGTGTACTTTCAAGACTTCCCCGCATTTTACTCTTCACCTAAAAGACTTTCTCTTCCAGCCTGCCGGCCCAGACCCTAAGGGCATTACCACCTTCTTCTGATCTGCGAAAGCCATGACCCTTATTCCTTCCTCACACCCTCATCCAGTTTTGTTCTGTGTTATAATTCTACATACACGAAACCAATTACCCCCGATCAGAATGTTAACCTCTGTTATCGCGATGAATAAGAAGGTAGCGTAAAGCAATTTGCTGGCCGGGCTGTTCTTATTAGAGTCTTTGTCTTTCCCTCTGCCTGGATTGCACTCTCTCCAAATGTCACTTGATTGCTCAATTCCTTCAGGTCTCTGTGAAAATGTCACCTTCTCAGTGATTCTCCTCTACCCAACCTATCATAAAACGACATCCCATCCTTCAGCCCATTTGCTTCGATTTTGTTACGTTCTGTTTCTTGTTTAAAAACACATCACAATCTGACATACAAGTTACTTACTTGCTTGTGCCTGTCTTTGTCCACTGTCAGGCCCAGGATGGCAGGGGATTTTATTTTCCTTCCCCTGCAGTTTCTCCAGTGCCTAAAACAGTGCCTGGCACATAGTAGGCACTCAACAAATACTTGTTGAGACAGAAAAAGAACTGGACTAGATGTCAGAAGACCTGGGTCCTAGTCACAGCTCTCCCACACGACAGTTGTGTGGCCTTTAGCAAGACATGACGTCTTTGAGCCTTAGTTGTAGTTGCTAAGTCGTGGCCAACTCTTTGTGACCCCCAGGGACTGTACCAGGCCAGTCCTCCCTGTCCCTCACCATCTCCCGGAGTTTGCCCAAGTTCATGTCCATTGAGTCCTTGACGCCAGCCAACCATCTCACCCTCTGTCGTCCTCTTCTCCTTCTGCCTTCGAGCTTTCCCAGCATCGGGGTCTTTCCCAATGAGTGGGCTGTTCATATCAGCCTTAGCTACCGCTGTAAATTGGGCGTGATAGTCTGGGCCCTTCCCCGTGGCCGACAGCACTGTTGTTAAGGATCTAACAGTGGGTCTCAAACTTTAACCTGCTTCAGAATCGCCTAGAGGGCTTAAGATACAAGTGGCTGGACTCCATGTTCGGTTTCCGATTCAGTAGGTCTGGGTGAGATGAGAAAAGCTGCATTTGTAACATGCCGCGGATGGTGGTGTTTCAGAGACCACTGATGAGGAGGCATGAAGCTGCAGGAGGTGCTTGTAGCACCAACGCCCGTCCCAGACAAGAACGGCACTGACGGCCGGGCAGGCCACTGTGGGAAGGCAGAGTGGGCCCAACCGCACCTCAACTCAGCCAACGACCACTGAGCAGGCGCCGGGTTAGTGCCGGGTGCCGGGGTCAGCGGCGCGTGCCACAGGCCGGCGAGGCTGTGGGCTCAGACCCCGGGGAGTGGTCGGGAGCTCGCAGCGTGAGGAGCGCTGGAGAGGGCGCTGCGACCTCCGTACGGGGCAGGAAGTCTCTGGAGCGGCGAGGAGGACCCCAAGCGGGCGCCGAAAACTCAAACTCGCCCTCGCGAGCTCGGCGGCGGACGCTGCCTGGAGCTTCCCGGAACCCGCGGTCCACCCCCGCCCGGTTCCCCGCCCCCGGTGCGGGCGACTGAGGCGCGCTCCCGCCCCGGGCGCGCGCCGGGCACACAGTAGGCGCGCGCCCCGGCCCCCCGCACACGGCCGGCACACAGTAGGCGCGCGAGCCGGCGGAAGTGGGCGCCGGCGTGCGGTATCCGGGGGCGGAGCTGGCGCGGCGGGCCCAGCTCTCAGACCCCGGCTGCGGGCCGCGATGGGCGAGGGCGGGCTGCCCCCGGCCTTCCAGCTGCTGCTGCGCGCCTGCGATCAGGGCGACACGGAGACTGCGCGGCGGCTGCTGGAGCCGGGGGCTGCGGAACCCGCGGAGCGCGGCGCGGAGCCCGAGGCGGGCGCGGAGCCGGCGGGGCCCGAGGCGGCCGGGCCCGGGGCGGCGGCCGGAGCGCCAGTGCCCGTGGACTGCTCAGACGAGGCGGGCAACACGGCGCTGCAGTTCGCGGCGGCCGGGGGCCACGAGCCGCTGGTGCGCTTCCTGCTGCGACGCGGCGCCTCGGTCAACAGCCGCAACCACTACGGCTGGAGCGCGCTCATGCAGGCGGCCAGGTGAGGGGGTCGGGGGTGCCGGGGAGCCTGGGTGGTGTCTAGTGACCCCCTGGGCGCGGGTGGGCTCGGGCGGTGGAACCTGCCCGGCGGCCCGCCGCAGACGCTCCGGGAGGTTAAAAGTGAAGTACTGGTTCGAGAGAGTTGAAATCGTAAACTTTGAGCACCTAGGCATGCGAACTAGAAGTGGACGCGCTTTTTAATAACGTAAAATCAGAATCCTAAAAGCATCGGCCTTTCAAACACAGAATCTGGAGACAGCAAATAGAATCTTAGAGACTTAGAACCTTAGTGATGTTCATTGCAGCAAGGGTTTCCCCCAGAACCTACCTATCCACTCTGGTTTGGTGTTGGGGATGCTGCGGTACCCAGATAAAGTCCCCACGGAAGCAGAGCATATGCCAGTGGGCGGGCCAGGCAAAGGAACAGATTTAAGGGGACGATCTAAGGCTGGATGATGAGGCTAGGATGAACTAGGCTGGATGATGAGGCTAGGATGAACTAGGCTGGGATGAAGTAGGGAGCTCTTGGAGACCCGACTCAGTTTCAGGAAGTGAGGTAAGGTTTCTGGTAAGGATGAGGTATATATTGTCGAGACCTAAGGATACCTAAGAGTTGACCTGGATAGAGGGAGTGAAAGATGGGTGCTGGGTGCAAAAAGGTTTGGAAGCCAAAGTGAAATATGCATTCATAGGACTGCTAGAACGATGTTGTGGCTGGAAGGGGTTGGGAGTAGTGGGAGATGAGTCCCCTCTGGAGAGAAAGAGGCGGATGCCGGCTGGTCAGGGTCCTGGCGAGTAACAGGCGTGTCCTAGGCAGAGCAAGTGACAGAATGAGATTTATGTTTGGAAAGGTCACTTTTACTGCAGTTTGAGGATGGATTGGAGGAGTGAGCTAGAATCAGAAAGTCTGGTTAGGAAGGGATTGCAGCAACCCAGAAAGAGGTGATGCCTGGACTAGAGCAGAGATGGCTGTGGGAGAGCAAAGAAATGAGTTGGAGATGTATTCAGGAAATAGGATGAACCAGACTTGCAATTCTGGTATAAAGAAACTCTGGGGGGACTTCCCTGGTGGTCCAGTGACTGAGACTTCACGCTCCCGATGCGGGAGGCCCGGGTTCAATCCCTGGTCAGGGAGCCAGTTCCCACATGCCACAATTAAAGATCCTGTGTGCCGCAACTAAGACCCCACGCGACCAAATAAATAAATAAAACTTTTTTTAAAAGAAGAAACTCGGGTATACTCTGAGGTCTCACTCCTGTCAGCCATCTACTTAGATCCCACTTAGTTTCTTGTAGAAATTTCCCAAGGAAGGAACAGAGGTCATTTGTAATTTTGATGAAAGTGAAAGTGAGTGTCACTCAGTCCTGTCCGACTCTTCGCGACCTCATGGACTATACAGTCTGTGGAATTCTCCAGACCAGAATACTGGAGTGGGTAGCCGTTCCTTTCTCCAGGGGATCCTCCCAACCTAGGGATCGAACCAGGTCTCCCACATTGCAGGCAGATTCTTTACCAGCTGAGCCACCAGGGAAGCCCAGGAATACTGGAGTGGGCAGCCTATCCCTTCTCCAGAGGATCTTCCTGACCCAGGAATCGAACCGGGGTCCTCCTGCATTGTAGGTGGATTCTTTACCGGCTGAGCTACTAGGTAATTTTGATGGATATTGCCAAATTGCTCTCCATGCAGATGTATTTTTTCCAATGGCTGCTGTTAGAACTTACTACAAAGCTAGCAGCAACCACATCACTCTGACCCCTGCTTCGTCATCACATTTTCTGACTCCTCTACCTCCCTTTCTACTTTTAAAGATCCCTTGTGATTCCACTGAGCTCATCTGGGTAATCTCCCCATCCCAAGGTCAGCTGATTAATTTCCCCTTTCCCACAGAACTTAACAGGTTCTGGAATTAGGATCTGGACATCTTTGGGGAGCCCCTTACTCTGCTGACACAGTAGTGGTGCAGTTTACCCTCCCCCAAACAGTGTCTGTGAGTGCCTGTTTTTCTACAGCCTCTCCAACAGAGTATATTATTAAACTTCTGGATTTTTGCGTCTGATGAATGAGAAATATTTCAGTGTTGCTGTGATTTGCACTTGTTAAACTGAGTGAAGTAAAACATCTTTGCATATGTATGAGCCATTTGATTTTCTCAAAGGCATTGAAATCACAACATTCTTAATCTTCATTCGTAATCTTCTCTTTATGACCCAGTTATATTTTATTTCTGAGTTCATTTCCAAGTGTCACACAGTTGTTCTAATCTAATTTGTATTGCAGGAAAATTTTTATTCTGCATTATTTTCAAATATGTCATTTTCAACTGCTTTGTGATACATCATCCACGGGCAGCGCTGTACTTTGCTTAACCATACCTTAGCCCTCAGGCATTTATTTCCATCTATAAACACACTTAGGGAGTGCATACCAGCTATAACACTCAGCTGTCCATTCTCGTGGGTAACACAGTGTGTTATGCATCTATCCGTGAGTCAGGGACCCTTTGTCTTAAGACACCTGACTTCTTCCCTGGCACTCTCTAGCGGTGCCCATAATGTCTTCTGGGCTGTGGACCTCACTTCTGAGGTTCCCTGTCTCTTCATGGCCCCATCCACTCTCCAGGCTTTAAAACGCCAGGTAAGTGCTCATTCCAGGACCTGTCCGTGCCATCCTGTCTCTCCTTCCCCTCTGTCTTAGTCCAGGGCACACATTTATAAGTGGCTTCCTACTGCTCTCTCTTCTTCCAAGTGTGCCTTCTGCAGTCCCTCCTCTGTAGAGCTTCCAGATCTTTCTGAAATGACTGTTTGGTTGTGTGTGTCCCACAGTGGCTCCCTTAGATCAGGACGGCCAAGCGCATGGCTGTGTGCTGACACATTCCAGTCTTGTGCTTTTCCTCCGTGAAAGTAGACGTGCCTCAGAGATGGTGCTCCCGGCAGCCACCACTTTGAACGAAGTGAGCATCTTTTTATCGTCACAGCTCTCTGTGTTCCAGAGCTCATCATTGGATCGGGACCACCAGAGACCCTGTGCCTGGACTGCAGCTGGGTCTCTTGTGAATGTTTCGGCATCAGAGGTGGTGTCATTCATGGTTTTTTTTTTTCTTTTCCTGTTCTTAAAATAACCTTTAGAGTACTTATTTTGTGTCAAGCTCTGTGCTAAGTGCTGCAAATGAGTTAATTCATTCAATCTATGCAAAATCTGAGGAAGCACTACTGCTGTCTTCCCCATTTTACAGATAAAGAATTGAGGCTCAGAGAAGTTAGTTCATTTGTCCAAGGCCACACAGCTACGAAGGCACAGAGTCAGATTCATAAGTAGGCAGGTGCGCCAGAGCCTGTGCCCCCAGCTGTGAGTCCCGTAACTCACTATTTTCCTCTTGGTATTGGTCACAAGGAAGCCATTCACCAAGTTTGCTTAACACTAAAGAGACAGGTTGTGTGGTGTTTATTTTGGTTCCAATTTTACCTTTGAGTTCCTTACTTCCCTTCTCTTGCCCTTCACTTCTCTGCCTGCCAGCGTGGCGGGGCTGGCCTCTCCGCCCAGGGCTCTCTGAGAGTGGGGGTGTATGCCAGGTCTTTCAACACAGGTGTTAATTGCTGAAATTAATTGGTAATCGGAACAGCTGCTCAGAAAGCCCGGAGCTTCCCTATCTTCAGTAATTACCAGTTAGAAAGTTAGCATCCCCCAAATTATCTCAGCCTTCGTTGAATCATTTTTTATATTTTCAGCCTAATTTTCAGGGGCCTCTTGGGCCACTCCTGAATTCAGAAAGCATTCTGAGTGTCAGCATCCCTGCTCAGATTTAGGCCTCTCCTTCCTCTGTTATGCCAGGAGAACTGGAGTTTCAGATCTTAGGGTCTAGGTTCAAGTTTTGACTCTATCACTTCCAAATTGAGAGATTCTGGATTATTGCTTTCCGGTGTAATCTTCAGATCCCTCATCTGTGAAATACATTATTAGCAGTTTATCTCGGGGTTTACTGAGATCCAGTTGATAAAAACAGGACAGTATCTTGTTATCTGCTGCTAGATTTTTATCTCATGCTTGATGACTAAACAGTGTAATCTTGTATAGTTATCTGCTCAGTTCTTCAGCTCTTTCTGTTGCCTTTGACCATCCTCTTTGGTTATTCCAAGTGTTCGTTCACTCATTCATTTGACAGAGTTGCCCGAGCTCTGCTGAAGTGCACAGTCTAACAGGAAGACGTAACTATAGAAGGAGGGCCCAGGCACATCAGTAAGGGTGAAGACAGGGGCTTGTGGGTTTTCAGGTGAGGCGCGCCGGAGCTGATGCGGGGGCATCATGTGGAAGCCGCTCAGAGGAGGTGGGATCTGGACTGAGTCCTGCAGCAGGATCAAGGATGTGCTTAGTCAGTAAGGACAGGAGGGTCAGAAAGGCAGGATGGCAGAGGCGTAGGCAGAGAATAATTGCCGAGGGCAGGTGAGCACGGCCGGAGTACAGCGTGGGAGTTGGGAAGAAATGAGGTTGACAAAGTCGGCAGTCCTTTCCCGGCAGTGGGACATGGGCAGTAGCCATGAGATTTAGGTTTGGAGAATATCATTGTGAAGGACAGGCAGGGAGACAGGCTGGGGTTACAGCTCTCTGCCTCTTTGCCAGATTCTGTCCACTTGGAGAAGGGGCGGGGCAGGCCTGGCCCCCCTGCAGCTGGGGAAGCCAGTCCACCAAGCACTCCCTCCGCACTCCGCAGGTGGGGTGACCCGGTGCTGTTAAGGTTCACGGCCCAGAGGTATTTGTAAGTTCAGAACATTGTTCAGCCTTGGCCCTGCCTCCGCAGGGAGGAGGGAGGCCCTGGGTTTAGATGAGGGACAAAACCGCCTCCGGAAAGGAGGGAGCGCCACAAGGGATTCATTCGAAAGCTGCCTCACAGATTCAGGCCTCCTGCCGACGTTACGGCCTTCTAAAACCTGGCCCGGGGCTCCTCCCCTGTTCTTTCCCGGCTTAGTCCACGGCTCCTTCCAGCTCGGAGCCCAGGAGCGCACCCGCCTCACTTGGTGCAAAGCAGCACTCTTCTGCCCTCTGGTGGCAGGAGGAGGAAGAGCGCTTCCTGGGAAGAGGGGTCTGTTTCCCTCTTCCTGGTATCCGAGTTGGTGGGCCCTTGTGTCTCCCGGCAGGGGAGGTCGCTCCAGTTTCCCTGGAGAGGGTCTGGCCCAGACCAGATCCTCAGCCGCCAGCAGGGGACATTCCAGCCAGCAGGGGGCACCAGGCCTCTGGGGCGCGGAGCCCCGGCCCGCCTCTGCTGACCGCAGCTCTGCCCCGCCTCTTGGCATGGGGTCTGTGGACTTGCTGCGTGTGTGCTTGGGGCTGGGGAGGGGAGATGTGAGTCAGACGTGGGCCCTGCCCCTGGGGAATGAGGGCACAGGCGGAGAGGCAGCTTACCCAGCTCTGAAGCAAGAACTCTGCCGCGCAGGCAGCAGCAGGGTGTGGGCAGCAGGATTCAGGCAGACTGCGGTTCTGACCCTCTGGATGTCGCTCACCAGCTGGGTGACCTTGGCACATGGTGTGATGTAAAAATGTTTAAACGACTACCATTCTAACAGCTGACATTTATTAGTTTTCCTTTGGACAAGTGCTGTTCTCAGTGCTTTATGTATATTATATATTTATATATATTAACTCATTTAATCATCCACAGCTCTTTTAGTAGGTACAGTCATATCCCCACTTTAGAGATGAGGACGTGAAGGCACAGAGAAGCTGAAATTCTTTCCCCAGGAGATGCAGCGGATGGCAGAGCTGGGTTCGGAACTGGCCAGGGCAGTGCCTGGCACCAGAGGAATGCCTTTTATTATAAGCAGCTATTACTACATTAAAAGTTAATGATTCAGTGATTAATAATTTAACAATTGATGTGCTTAGTCACTCAGTCATGTCCAACCCTTTGCGACCCCATGTGCTGCATCCTGCCAGGCTGCTCTGTCCATGGGGACTCTCCAGGCAAGAATACTAGAGTGGGTTGCCATGCCCTCCTCCAGGGGATCTTTGCAATGCCGGGATAGAACCCAGGTCTCCTGCATTGCAGGAATATTCTTTATCGACTGAGCTACCAGGGAAGCCCTAACAATTTATAATTAGGTGATGACATGAGCTTTCTCCTCATCAGGTGCCTTGTGTCACTAATTGTCCATCTCCCTGGCAGATTTGGGCACGTGAGCGTGGCACATCTTCTTTTGGATCACGGGGCTGATGTCAATGCCCAGAACCGCCTGGGGGCCAGTGTGCTCACCGTGGCCTCTCGGGGTGGACACCTGGGCGTGGTGAAGCTGCTCCTGGAAGCTGGTGCCTTCGTGGACCATCACAAACCCTCAGGCGAGGGGGACGGCGGAGACGAACTGCTGGATATCACGGCCCTGATGGCTGCTATCCAGCATGGCCACGAGGCTGTGGTGCGTCTGCTGATGGAGTGGGGCGCCGACCCCAACCACGAGGCCCGGACTGTGGGCTGGAGCCCGCTGATGCTCTCAGCACTCATCGGGAGGCTTGGCCTGGCCCAGCAGCTAGTGGAGAAGGGCGCCAACCCCGACCACCTCAGTGTGCTGGAGAAGACTGCCTTCGAGGTGGCACTTGACCGCAAGCACAGGGACCTTGCAGACTACCTGGACCCGCTGACCACCGTCAGGCCCAAGACAGGTCAGGCTGCGCCGCCACTAACCCACCCGCGGGCCCCGCCGCGGCTTCCCAGAGGACCCCGGCTTGTGTCTAAACAGCAAAAGCCAAGGGTTGCCCAGACACAAGGGCCTGCAGAAATCAGTCCAGCCCACGGGGCAGGGGAACTTAGGCAGGTGCCCGGCCCACCCTCCAGGGGGTGATCTGTAGCTCTCTGAAGGGCCTGGACTCCTGCACAGCCAGGCCTGTCCCTCCTAACCAGAAGATTCTGGTGTAGGAGGCTCTGGGACCCTTCTAGAAAGCGGTCAGCAAGCTGCTTCTGAGAAGGACCAGACAAACATTTTAGGCTCTGTGGGTCGTGCAGTCTGTTGGAACCCCTCAGCTTTGCTCGAGGAGCAGCAGCCTACGTGATATGTCAGGGGTGGGTGGGGCTGTGTGCCAGGAAACTCTAATTCTGAAAACAGGCGTCGGGCAGGTTTGGCAACCTCTGCTCTCAGGGCACTGTGCCTAACCTCAGCTGCCGATGACCAGTCCCCAAAGACTAATTCACAGAAAATTCAGCATACTTTTGAGTTGTGTTTTTTCAACGTCTATTAGTGTATCCTATTTCTTTTTTCTTTTTGCCATCTTTCTGGCATATAAAGAGCTGTCTAAGCACTCCTTAGCAAATCTGTCACAGACCGTACCATGTTTCAAAACCCCTAGTTCATCATGTGTAACAGAATCATGTAATGTAGAGTTGCACAGCCGCAGTGCCCTCAGCAGTGGGTCTGACTTCTGCGTCTTTCCTGAGATAGCCCGGGCTGCAAGGCCAGGCTGCAGCGTGTGAGCATTTAAAGCTGAAAGGTAAAAGTTGGAAGAAAAGGTCTTCAGACAAACTGGCTGAAAATGCTTTGAAAGTATTGCAAAGTTTGATACCCTCCAGAGAATACGCAAATAGTCCCGTCAATGAAATTGTAAATCAACTACACTTCAACTTAGAAAAAATTCAAGTGACCCATTAAAAAAAAAAAAAGACCCATCAATCAAAAGATGTTGCAAATTTGAGAAATGCTTATTAGAAATACACTGTCTGGTCAGAAAGCTCTGAAATAAACATGTTGTAAAACTGTATAACAACAGAGAGATGGCAGAAATGAAGGGAACACCAGAACAAAAGGGAAAAAGAAGGAAAGTCTAAGAAAACCTGCCTGAAGCCAGGAGACCTCTTTCCTTTGTGCGGATGGGGACAGTGAGGGCCAGAGAGGAGTAGAGGCTGGCCGCAGGTCACACACCTGTTAGAAGCTGTGTGACCCTTGGAAGGTGGGGGGTTCCGTGGGGAGGGCACGGGGATGCGACCCCTCCCAGCTCTAGCCTTTGTGGGGCTTCTGGGATCTGGACACGCTTGTAACTCTCTCTTAGCCTCTGTCGCTTGTGTAGAATGGATCAGTGACAACTCCCAGGGGGCCATGAGCAGAAAACAAGCTGGCCTCTGGTGTGGGAGCCCTCGGGCAGTTCAGCAAGCGGCAGTTCGGCGTCAGGTTCCGGGCAGAGCTGCAGTTAGAAGTCAGGGCTCCGGGCTCACCCACGGTGTTCTTGACTCAAGGCCACTGCCCTCCCTTAAAGGCTTGGGTGGTGTGACTGTGGCCGAGATGGGAAAGGGAGCCGCCTCCTCCCGTCCCTGCTGTGCCTCCACGCCTGACAGGCAGGCTCTCACCTCCCCCGTGGGGGCGTTCATCCATGCTGCAGGTGAGGGAGGTCAGGCTCGGGGCGGGGGTCAAGCAACTGGCTCGAGGCCGCTGCCCTAGAAGTGGGTGGTCGGGGACGTGTGCCCCACCTATGGGTGCTGAGCTGGGCCTCTTGTGCAGCTGATTCCTCCTTCCTCAGACGCCTCCCGCCGGGTTTCTGGGGTGTTAGCTCCCCACAGGCCTCCTTATGGTCTGCCCTGGCACTCTGGGGAAGCAGTGCCCTCCTCTCCTCAAAACGTGGAGCTGCAGACACAGAGGTGGGCGTAGCCAAGGTCACCCCCTACCTGGCTCCACCTGGCCTTGCCCGTGCTGGCTGAGGGACCTTGGACCAGTAGCCTTCATTCTCCAAGCTTCTGTTTTGTATCCCGTAAGTGAGAGGCAGAAGTCCCCCTGCCTCACAGAACCACAGTGAGGATCAAGTGAGGTCCCCCCAGCTCAGAGAGAGCACGTGAGAGATGCTGGCAGCTGCCCTCACCCGTCACCATCACTGTCATATTGACAGGACCGGGTCACGGTCACGAGCAGACACGGGTTTGAGACTCAGCTCTCACTTTGGGGCTGGGAGGCCTCGGCATGTTCGTTGTCTCTCTAGGACTCCAATGTCCTCTTTCACAAAACAGCCGTAACAAATGCACTTGGCTTGTGAGGTCCTATGAGCAGTAGGACGATAATGCCGGCTGTACTGCGGAGTACCGCGGAGCCTGGCACATACAGAGCAGTGAGCGGAAGCTACCAGAATGGGTTTGTATTCCCCGTTCGTTCATTCCAGTATTCTGCACGCATTCATTGACTGCCAGTGTACCAGGTGCCATTCTAGGCACCAGTCAACAAACCCGATCCAACCTCTGCCCTTGGGGACCTTGGCTTCTGGAGGAGAGGCTGGCAAGAAACAGAAATGAGCGTGTTAAATAAGTCACATAGCACGGTAGGTGGTGAGTACTCTGGTGAGGGAGGAAACGGGCGAGCTGGGGGATTTGGGAGCGGTGGAGGACTGCGTGGGGCCGGCCTCCATGTGAAGCAGGGCCGTTGGGCGGCCCCCGCGAGGAGCAGAGAGTTCAGCCGAGTTGCAGGAGCTGAGAAGGGGCGCCATTCAGGCTCGCAGAGAAGAGCCTTCAAAGGCCATGTTACTAGTGGTGACAGATTATTAAACAGATAGGAGTTGGCCCCAGCTCTTTTTGTGAGGTGCTAGGGAACCCACCCCCCGCCCCCGTCAGGGCCTTGGAGACTCGCAGCTCTCTCCCTCACTAGCTGCAGGACAGGGCACCCTTGAGGCTGTACCGCCACTGTGACACCCTCCTCACCCGCACTGTGGTCATTCCCTGGGCTGTGGAGGGGTCCCTGGAGTTGCCCTGATGTTGATGCAATAATTGGAGCCCAGAGTGAGGAAGGGACCAGCCCCAGGGCCAGTGGGCATCAAGCATAGCTGCTCCAGCCTCCTGAGGTCAGGCTAGACTGTCAGTGATTCGTTTGTTCCAGATGGTTGCTTAGCAACCAACGCTAGGCCCAGTTGACACATTCTTTTCCGTCGAAGAGTCTTGGCATGAAGGAGGCTGTGGCCTATAGCAAATTTGACTCTTAAACAAAGGAATGAGACATATTTTTTAAAATGAAGTTTCATAATCATTTCTTTGTAGTATCTCAAAGGCAGAATTAGGCGCTTGGTTCCATGGCCCTGTCTATACTTTCCTATAAGTGCCCTGGAGTTAACTAGTACCCTTTCTGGGCTGGGTGCTGGTCACTAGAAAAGATAACAAAAATTGCTGTTTGTGTGGTGGTGGTGGTCTGGTCGCTCAGTCATGTCTGACTCTTGCAGTCCGATGGACTGTAGCCTGTCAGGCTCCCCCGTCCCTGGGATTCTCCAGGCAAGAATATTGGAGTGGGCTGCCATTTCCTTCTCCAGGGGATCTTCCCAATCCAGGAACTGAACCTGGGTCTCCTGCATTGGCTTCCCCAATGGGGAAGGTGGCTCAGAGGTTAAAGCGTCTGCCTGCAATGCAGGAGACCCGGGTTTGATCCCTGGGTCAGGAAGATCCCCTGGAGAAGGAAATGGCGACCCACTCCAGTATTCTTGCCTGGAGAATCCCATGGACGGAGGAGCCTGGTGGGCTACAGTCCACGGGGTCGCAAAGAGTCGGATACGACCAAGTGACTTCACTTTCACTTTCACTCCTGCATTGCAGGTAGATGATTTACCAACTGAGCTATGCAGGAAGCTGTTTGTGTAGAGCTTAAAAATTTCTGAAGCGTTCTCCCGTCCGTATTATCCACCCCTGCGACCACCACCTGGCCTCCGTGTTAGCATGTTGTCTGCATCATCAGTGATGAGGAGACACATCTCTCTGGAAATACGTGGATCTGGATACCCTGCTCCAGACTCCTTGTACCACTCTGCACCTTCTTCCGGCTGCTGGTGGAGGCTGCTCGAGACCAGGGATGTGGCCCAGAGTCACAGGTTTTCTCCTGCGGCTGCTCTATCCTCTAGTATTAGTCAGAGGAAGTCCTGCATTCGCTGTCACCAGTGAGAAGACTAGTTGTGAGGATGGCTACTTTCTGACAGGAGGGAGCAGGTTACCCACTAGCTCTAGCTTCAAGGAAGGTGATGGCAGATGAGGAAGGGGCTAGCATTGGGTGGGTGCAGTGAGGCCCAGCATGAAGGCCTCAGATGGGAGCATCTGCAGGTCTGGGTCGTGGGTGACCTTCAGAATCACTCAGATGGCTGCTTATTTGGGAAAGAAAGTGAATATTAGCATTGGCAACCGTGACCTCTGGGCTTAGCTGCCCAATGTCTTAGGTATTAGAATGAAAACCTGCCTTGAAATTACTTCATGGTTGTACATTTACTTTTTAGAATAAGAGAATCATTGTTTCTCCTTAAAATCTTCATAGGAATACAGATTTTTCCAAGACTATACTTTTCCGTTATATCTGAGAAAGGACGTTCCAAAATTTGGAATGCCTAAAAAAAGACCGCTGTATGAGGTGTGGGATCCGGAAATGGTCTGCTCATTCATGTTTTCCTGGCCAGATGACCTCCCACGGTCTGTCTCTGAAGCATGTTCAGACAGCCTGACGACAGCCCTTCCAGAAGGGCTGCTGGAGTTAGTCCGTTCCCTCGGTCTCTGACTAGATTGCTTATGAAAAGTAAATCATTTTTAAAGGTAGGCTGGGTCGTTACACCCTTGTGACTTTTCTGTTATTTTACACCTTACCGTGGTTAACTTTTAAAAATCTTTGTTTACCCAGATGAGGAGAAAAGGCGACCTGATATTTTCCACGCATTAAAAATGGGTAAGCACTTTAGAAAACCTTTTGGGATATTTAAGAACACAGTACTGTTTTTCCCAAACTCATATTGATAGTCCTTTTCAAGGCCGCCCAGAGTATTTGAGAAAGAAGCAAGTGTTTTGCTGTTTCCTGACTCTGGTCTCACCTAGGGAGGTTCGGACCCTGGAGGCTGGTAGTTATGGTGCTTTGCACACAGCTTCCAGGTTATTTTCTAGGCCCCCTCTGCCTCTCCTGCTAGATCCTGTGGCTGTGTCCTAACTTTTACTTCCCTCCGAAAGGCCTGGCTGCCCACCTACCCACTCCACTCTTTGTAATGAAGAGCTATTTAGTCTAGTGTTGCCTTTCCTGAAACAAACCTCCACTTCCAGGAAGCCCACCCTGATCCTCACCTCTGAGGGAGACCTGGGCTGTCTTTCTGCATGTGCATTGCCCCTCATCATCACTGTTCTTTTAAGATATCAGTAACACTTCTCCCTCTCAGTAAACCTATTTGCGTGCTTGCCTCCATCCCTCGTAGACTGAAGGAGTGGAGAGTGAGGCCTACCTCTGGCTCATCTTTGTAGCCCCTGCGAGGCCCAGCCACCCAGTACAGAGGCCGGCTCAGCACATTTGTTACGGGAAACCATTGGGTAAATCATCCTGCGGTGCCAGGCCCGTGGCTCACCAGGACTTTTGCTTCTGTTGGCAGGAAACTTCCAGCTGGTCAAAGAGATTGCTGATGAAGACCCCAACCATGTGAACCTGGTTAACGGGGATGGGGCCACCCCGCTGATGCTGGCGGCGGTCATGGGACAGCTGCCTCTGGTGCAGCTGCTGGTGGAGAGGCATGCCGACGTGGACAAGCAGGACAGTGCGCACGGCTGGACGGCCCTCATGCAGGCGACCTACCACGGGTCAGCGCCAGCCCCGGCCCTCAGCAGGGAGCCTGAGAGGGTGCCTGATGGGGTGCTGGTCCTGAGGCGCTGCAGAGAAGCGCCCCGCCCATTGTGAAGATGCTGAGACACTCAGAACGATGCAGGCTTGGTCTGTCCTGCGCTCCTCCCCTTTGTGTCCAGATTTCCTGTTGCCTCGGCGGTGGTACCTGGTGCTTCCGCATCCCTTCTCATCCAGTCACCCCTCTACCTTCCTGGATGCCTCCTCCTTGGGGCAGGCTGACCCAGGGGCAGGGGTCTGCATATAGCCTTGCACCTGCTCGGTGGTGATCTGATTCCAAATTAGGGGCCCCGTCCTTGCCCCGCTTGAGGTGATCAGAGCACTCTCCTGTGTCCTCTGAAAGTGGTTCTCTTCCTCATTGGACCCTCAGACTTCCACATCAAAGACTCTGGCCTGCCAGAGGATTTCAGTCAGGCCCCAGTGAGGGGCAGGAGGGGTGGGGCCTGTGTGTGGTGCTGGGAGCCAGTGGCTTTGGGGCAGAGACTTGTGTTTTTGCCTTGTTCACGGAAGGAGCGCTCAGGCTTTGGCTTCTGTCGTGACTGCCCTCAGGGTCGGGAGCAGGGGCTGGGAGACAGCTTTCTGCGCCCTCTGTCACAGACGCAGATGCTGCTGGGGTTACAGCCACCGCTCTTGTGGCCCGGGAGCACGGCCACGCTGTCCCTCCCAGCGGGTCTCACGCTGGCTTTCTCTTTCTTCCACAGGAACAGAGAGATCGTCAAGTATCTGCTACACCAGGGCGCTGACGTTACTCTCCGTGCGAAAAACGGGTACACGGCCTTTGACCTGGTGATGCTGCTGAGCGATCCTGGTGGGTCGTTTTAGGAAAAGCGTTTTAACGGCGCTGGGCTTTCTGGCTGGGAATCCAGAGCATCCCCTGTGTGCGAGCACTTGCTTATTCAAGGCAGAAGCCACTCTGCAGCCCCCACAGCACCCCACACAGCCTCAGGCAGGTCTTCACTGCTCCCAAGTGAAGGCCGCGGGGGAGAATGGGCGCAGCTGGGACCAGCTAGTCCCTGATGAGACCACTTCTGGCTCCAGCCTTCAGGAGTCTCCAGGCAGGAAGGCCTTGGCCGTCCACACAAATCCTGGAATGGTATCTGTGCCTCTCAGCTAGACCCTGCGTGACTCAGGAAGAAACAGGCCCCCAGGGACAGGGAGAACAGACGGAGCAGTGACCGCCTTGGCTTCTGGTGTCGGTGGAAGCTCCGGGTCAAGGTCTTGGCAACACTGCTGACCCCCAGCTAGCACCTGCTAGGCCCTCGGACCTTCTGCCACTTTGACAGACCTTCCTCTGTAGCTGTGGCTCCTCACTAGCTAACTCAAGGGATGAGGGGTCTCTCTACCACCTGTCAATTCTTTTGGGACCCTCAAGTTTTAGCCCAGAGCGGGAGAAGCTGGGAGGCTCTGCTGACCCACAGGCTCTGAGTCCTGAGCTGGATCCTCCCCTGCTGACTTGGGCACGGGGGGATTCTGCCTCCACGAGTGGAGGGGCTCGCGCTGCCTCTGTCAGTGTGGGGGCCGCAGGTCAAGTGCCCTTCCTCACCTCCAGTACCGCCACCCCCTCACCTCCACTCCCGTGAGACCCCCTTGTCACAGATCCGTGCTGGTTCCGTCTTATCCTCGCAGAGAGGATGTGCCCAGCAGTGACTGACCCTGGCTGGGGAGGCGGGGCCCTCCACCCAGGTCCGATGGTCTCACTCCTTGCTGCGGTCTGCCGGGGACCCTGGGCTGCATCGCACACAGGCTTTTCTCCGCCAGCCTCATCTCTTCCACTGTGTCTCTTCCTTCCCCGCATTCTCCCTCACTGCCTTTCCCAATAAAACAACCTACCTCAGTGGATATTTTTCCTAGTGGGTTTTCAAATGAAATTTTTGCCCAAAATTTTCTTATTTATTTATTTAATTTTTTGCCCAAAATTTTCCGAGAGACACATGCTGGAGGGGGAAAAAAAAAAAAGCAACAGTCAAGAGAAAAGCATATTCATAGTTTGTAGTATTTTCTTCTCAGTCTTGCTTGTTGCTTTTTTAATAGCCTAGTTGAGTTAATAATAACTAATACCACTTGATCTTTCTTAAGCACTTACCATATGTTAGGAACTCCCTCAGATCCGTCAGACACCTTTATGTGGTGGGTACGGTCGCCCTTAATTGACCTGCAGTTACACAGCCTGGGAAGAGCAGAGAATTCCAACTTCAGTCATCCGGCTATAGAGCCTCTACTTTCTAAACACTCCGCCCGCTGCCCTCCTGGTAGGACAGGGCATCTGGCTTTTGTTTCTGTTTAAGTGGATTAAACGCTGCTGGCACGTTTGCCCCTCCTGAAGAGCCAGTGGAGGGGCAGGGGCAGCTTGATCCTGGAGTAACACAGGCTCTGGCCCTGCGCGACTGAGTTCTCAGGCTGCTGGGGGTCGTCTTGAGACCCCTCCCCTCCCCCCATGGCCCGACAGTCATATTTGCAGGTAAAAGGCTGCCTTTTGTGTCCATAGACACGGAACTTGTTCGACTGCTGGCATCTGTCTGCATGCAGGTGAATAAAGACAAAGGCCGGCCCAGCCACCCGCCGCCTCTGCCCCACTCGAAGGTCCGACAGCCCTGGAGTGTCCCGGTGCTGCCTGACGACAAAGGCGGACTCAAGGTTTGCCCTTTGTGTCTTACAAGGTGTCAGAGAGCCATGCCCGAATCGTGAAGCAGGAAGGTGCTGGCCACCTCCTCATTACCCAGAGCTGCTTCAGGACAGGGTAACAAGGGGTTAACAGCCGGGGCAGGAAGTGAACTGGAGGCGAGCAGTGGGGAGTGGAGGTGACCAGGGAAAACGGAGCTGATGGTGGCCAGTTAGCGGCTGCTTGCAAGTTGCTACCTCTTCCCGTGTTTTCAGGAGAAACTAAAAACCCAGAAGTTGATGCAGAGACGCAGTTTCTAAGTGTAGAGAATGGTTAGCATTTTCTGCATGGTGCACTGCTGAGCTGGCTAGCCTCGAACAGCTCTCCTCCCTGGCCATCTGTCTGGCCTGGGCTTCAGCGTGGACAGTATTTGCTGACTGCACATTCTAGGGCCTTTCTGCGGTCCACAGGCCCCCATCAGCTGCCACTGGAAGCAACAGAACCGAGCTCCAGCTGCTGATTTCTAAACTGCAAGTTGAATGTTTCTCTTTGAATGTCTTATTCTCCCAGCCCTGCTCTGCTTGTTGAAAATCAGAATTATTTTTTCCCTTTTCCTGGCTGGGGTTCCAGCACTTTCTCCGATCTGCAGACTTGGCATTCTGCTCATGTCTGTTGCTCACCCGAGGCCCTGGATCCTTCCTCGCGGCGCTGCTCGCATAGGTCTCGTCATCCTTGCCTCACCGCCGTCTCTAGGCCAGGCCTTGCAGCCTCCCTCTGGTGCCCTGCCAGTCGCCTCTGAGCTCTCGTGGGCTTGTGTAGATGCCCTGGGGGTGGCACCTGTCCTCTCTCTAGGTGAAGAGGCGTCAGCTGCAGGAGCAGATGGCCCAGGCCTTGGACTGGACAGCCTGATAGCTCTCACATTGTTACTGGAATGGGAGAAAGGGGTAACGCAGTCTGAGATGTTAAGGTGTTTGGCGTTGCCTGTGTCCATCTGTCCGTCGCTGTTTGACCCCAAGATGTCCAGCAAGTTGACATCGCTGGGTCTCTCTCAGACTGTGCAATGAGGAAATGGCTGGAGAGCCTTAGCAAATTGGGTTCCCTGCCACCTCCAGGCTATTGGGAAGGACCCCCGCGGGCTGGGTCAGGAAGGGTTTAGAGAGAACCAAGGGTCCTGTGGTCGATGGTAACGCCCGCAGTGGGCCCAGGAGAGGGGAGGGGGCTCGTGCAGAGTGTGGTTGCTCTCCCTGGGCTCCGTACTGTGGGGCTTGACCGCTGCTCTGCATTCCCTTGGCAGTCCTGGTGGAACCGCATGTCCAATCGGTTCCGGAAGCTGAAACTGATGCAGACATTGCCGCGTGGGCTGTCCAGCAACCAACCGTTGCCTTTCTGTGATGAGCCAGAGCCAGCGCTGGACTCCACGATGAGGGCAGCACCCCTGGACAAGACCAGCCGCTCTGGGCTCCCCGATGTGGCCCCCATGACCAAAGACAATGGTGAGAAAAAGTTGCACATGCGGTAGAATTTCCAGAATGGTCAAATCCTGAACCTTTTTGCTGTCTTCCTTTGCCCTTCGTCCTCCCTCTGGGGCTGATGGGATGTGACGCTGGTGCAGAGTGGCCAGTTTGGTGAGGACTTAAGGGACAGAAGTCCATCTGAGGGACCAGCTGCTGAGGGTAGAAAGGGAGGCTGGCAGCAAGCCCCAGCTTCCTGCCCTGCATGCCCTGCTGGGAAACCTTTGGCCAGTCCCTTTCTCTCCCTTGCCTATGACAGGTGATTTTCCCACTTGCCACATGTGATTGATCTGCACCCACCAGCAGTGTTTTGAAGTAGAGTGAGTTTCTGGGGTTGGCGTGGGGGTAGTGAGCTCCCCACCACTGAAAGTATTCAACAGCTTGCATGACTTTGCCAGGGCACTGAAGAAGATTCCCACACTGGAAAACTGATTAGGTCAGATCCATTCTAACAGTCTGACTCTCTACACCCAGACTAGTTCCTTGGGTACCACTGTTTGAGACAGACTATTGAGCTCAACATACCACTGTCTGACCCAGCATGACAATGGTTCATGGAAAAGCTGCAAACACACTCTAAGATACCTTTTAAATGCTTCCTTTCTCTTCAAATATTGAATACCAATAATTATTAAATATTTAATCACCCAAGAGAGTTGGTTTTCCAGGATGAAGGCTGACCTGGTCACTTGTCCTCACGCCGTGGACCCGTTATGGTTGGGGGAGGGGGTCATCTCAGGAAACTTCCATTTGTTTCTCAGGTACTGGGAACACAAGAGGAGAAAAGGAAGATGCGTTACTGACAACCATGGTGAGTGTGGGGCTTTTCTCAAAGCATTTCAGGTCTCTTCCAGTCGTTAGTGGATTGATGTATGAGGAGGGATGTGGGCACATTTGTCTTTCTTTGTGGTGGTTACGGATGGGGTCGATGTCAAAATGTGTAGCAATGGGTATATCTCTGGCACCAAGGAATCAGAATAGATGCCAGCCCTAAATTCTGGATAAGGCTGTGCTGGTGCTTAGCAGCCAGGGCTAAGCCCTGATCACGTCATCAGGGACGTAGCACTGAGAACAGGGGCCGTGTCAGGGTAGGAACTGATGGTGACATTGGACTTAACCGTTTTGGTTTTGGAGAGCCAAGGAGAGGAGTCAAAGAAGAGAGTCTGTTTCCAGCTTGAGAGAGGCCTCAGTGTCCTCATCTATAAATTAGAGATGTATTAATTTTAGGTTCAGCTGAGTAACAAAATCCCCAAATGATTGGCATAAATTTGACAGGATCATATTTCTCTCAAGTAAGTGAAGTGCAAGACTGGTTCATTGATCTATGGAATTAGGGACCTAGGTTCCTTTTACCTGTTGATCACCCTGGCATGGCTTCTACTACCAAGGTTACTTCTTGGTCTAAGGTGGCTGCCAGAGCTCCATCCATTACTGCTTCATTCCAGCTGACCCCAAAGATGACTGGAGAAGAGGTGGCCATGGGCACAGGCCAGGTGTCTGTAAAGTTTCCTGGAAATTCACACATCACTTTTTGCTTACATTAAATGTGCCAGAATTTAGTCACATGGCCCATTCACACTGCATAGAAGTCTTTGTTCCAAGTTGGTCACGTGCTCATCTATCAGGCGTGTCTGCGAGGGAGATACGGAGGATGGATATTAGGCACTAGCTAGCCTTCTCTTACGTAGGAGATGCTATCCCTCATGGTTGTAGTTTTTAAGTATCATCCCCAGGAATATCTTAACATAACCTCTGACCCAGAGTGAACTCTTATTTGTCTGCTGTGTGACCTTGGATGTGTTACATCACTTCTCTGGGCTTCATTTCTCTGAAATGAGAGTCTCCCGGTTGGAGTTCGGCTAAGTCCCTTTAACTCTGAGGCCCTAATCTGCAGGCTGGCCAGGAGAGGGCAGTGTTGGAGAGAAGATGGGAGCAGAGGTGCCCCCACAGAACTAAGCTGCCGCAGGATGTTTGGGGCCCTGATGGGGTCTGTCTGCTCTGCCCTGCTGTGAGATAGGTATAAACTGGTGTCTACACACTGACCGTGGGACTTGCAACGTTTGATAATGTTAATAAATAGCAATAATTGCTTTCAGTATGTAGACAGAAATGCTCTTACTGAATTTTTGGAAGATGCAGTAAAGTGTAAAGAAAAAATTGCCCTTGGTCACACATCCAGATATAATCATGGTTGACATTTTGTGGCATATATCTTTTGAGTGTTTTTCCTAATCATTTGTATCTATGAATATGATATCATGGTATATATATAATAAACAAATATTTAGCACAGCACTAAATATGTACCAGCCCAATGCTTATTAAGTGTTTGCTGCAGTTTACATATATTCACTCACTTTTATCCCAAAAAACCATGCCAGGCCAGGCACTGTTGTTTAGTCGCTAAGTCATGTCCGACTCTGTGACCCCGTGGACTGTGACATGCCAGCCCTCCCTACTCTTCACTATCTCGGAGCTTGCCCAAGTGCACGTCCACTGAGTCGGTGATGCACTGGGATCTTCCCCCGTTGTGCTGAAGCTGCCGTATTAACAGTTTGGCATGACCATCTTTTCTGTGTCAGAAACACCCTTTGGCCCCATTGTGTCCAATGACTAAGTGATGTAACATTCCATCATCTCTTCATCCAAGACTGACCTGCGGGACTTTGGGGTTCCTGGTTTTTGTTTTCACAGCTCTGATGAATTATCCTTATGCAGATGAGGTTGTTGAGGTCCAGAGGGGTCGACCCTTGTTCACAGACTCTCGGAAAAGCAGGACAGTGCCTGCTTTCTGAGAGGCCCAGCAGTCCCTGGTGGGAACCCGGGAGGCACCACTTCCCAGCTTGTTCTCTCTTGTCCCGCCTCCTTAAGCCCTGTAGGGGCGGCGGTGTGCCCACCTGCCCCGTGGCAGATGGAGGATGGCCAGGGCGCTCTGCCGAGGAGGCGTTTGTAGCCATGCTCGCAGAGATGCCCGCCTGCCCAGCTCCCGAGGCAGGTTTAGCTGTGGGATGCCCTTCCCTGCAAAGCACCATCTGGCGCCAAGTTCACTGTCTTTTCTTAATTAAAGTTACTGTGGACCGTGTGAAAGCTTTTCCTTGACGATCCACCAGTCATCATGGTGTGGATTTTATACTGACCCCAAATCGCATTTTCAAAACTTAGAATTGCAGTTAAAAATGTCAGCAGTGGGAGGTGTGGCTCGAGCAGGAAGGAGGTGGTGGGGTGGGGTTGGGAGTGTCTGCTGGGCTTGCAGAGCCAGCCTGGGCCTGCCGGTGCCCTCATCCCGTCCTCCTGGAACCCCGGCTCTGGCCACACCCACCTCCTTGCAGTTCTGCACGCTGGTCTTGCTCCTCTTGTCTCCAGTCCTTCCTGCATTCCCTTCCCTTGGTCTGCAGGGCCCTTTCCTGGCCCAGCACGCCCAGCGCTTCTCAGCTCCCGCCGTGGCTCTCCGCAGTCCCTCCCCCGTGCCAGTCTCGTTGCTGTGCACAGACCCAGGAGAACCTGGGGGCGTGGAGCGGAGCAGACGTGGGTGTCCCTCGGTTGCTGGGAGGAGAGCTGAGGACATCACGTGGGTTTCTGGCTTGGCTGTGGTGGGGGGTGGGGCTCGGGGGTGCTGCCATTCTCTGAGAAGCGGGAGAGACCTGGAGTCTTCCCCCCAGAGCCAGGAGCCCTCCTGGGGCTGGCCTAACCCACAGCCTGTCTTTTTCAGCTTCGAAATGGAGCCCCCTTCACCAGACTCCCGAGCGACAAGCTGAAGGCAGTCATCCCCCCTTTCTTGCCCCCTTCCAGCTTTGAGCTGTGGAGCTCGGATCGATCCCGGACACGTCATAACGGGAAGGCAGACCCCGTGAAGACTGTGCTGCCTCCGAGAGCTGGCAGAGGCCCCCCCACGGCTGGGGGGAGCGCGGACAGTGTGAGTTGTCCAGTTCACGCACTTTGACGCTTCATCTGCCACTCCGATGTCATGATGGACTGTAGGCAGAGGGAACTCGGATCCCTTCTGACATAGGGGGGCTGTCGCTTTTTATTTTCTTTTAAGTGAGTGATACTCCTTTGTCTAATGAAAGCCTACAAAGTAATTTAATATGTAAGTAGAGCAGCGTGAAAGAAAGTAGAAGCCCCTATCACTGGGGTCCTGGAGCTCTGAGGAACACAGGTTGAAGACCTGATCTAATCCCACCTTCCCTTTAATAGGTGAAGCAATAGCCGAGAGAATGGAGGCAGTTGCTGAGGGTCCCCGAGCAGAGTGGGGTTGAGGATGCTGGTGCCAGACATCAGGTTCTTGGCTCTAATCAGGCTCCACACGACATTATTGGACAGGTTCAGGACCAAACTCAAACACTGCAGACCACTGTGTGTGCTCCTCGAGTTTTCCTGCAGCCAGAGTGTGACTTCTGCCCTCCTGACCACGGTGGTTTCTGATCTGGTGGCCCTCAGTGTGTTTCTGTGACACGCTGAGGCGGTCCCTCTCAATGTGGGGCTGAGACCCTCGCGAGTAGGCTGCAGACAATGGAGATCCAGGGGCTTAGGCCCTGACCCTGCTGCTTGGAGACACTCGGCCCCCGTCTCTGTCTGAGCCCCTGGTGCTCGCTGCTGCCTTCCTGGACTGTTGTAGCGCCAAATCACTGGCCGGAGGCCAAAGCCCTGGTGTCTGGGAGTGCTTGAAACGGACGGAGTGGGCTCGTGTCAGTCCACACTCGGGAGGAGGCGGGTGAGCCGTGGGAAGCGGTGTCACAGGGGCTGAGCCTGAGCTTGTGGCCGGTGGAGTTGTCAGCAGGTAGCCGTGAACTCCCGTCCCTTGGGGCCGCCTAGCAGGCGGAGCCAGGATCAGCCCGGATGGGCCAGCTGATGTGACCTGTGTGTGGGAAGCAACAGCAGCACACCCTAACTGCGTATTCGCCTTATTCTTGCAGACTCTCGTCAGGCCGGTTAAATTTCCATCTCTCTCCAGAAGCCCAGCCTCCCCCGCCAATTCTGGAAACTTCAACCACTCACCTCATTCCTCCGGTGGCTCCAGTGGGGGAGGAGGCGTGAGCAGGCATGGTGGGGAGCTGCATAACCGCTCAGGTGTGTACCCAGGCCACCCCCTCCAGGAAGGCAGGAAGATCACTGAGGGTCTAGGGTGTGAGCTGCAGACCGCCCTTGAGACCACTGCATGCACGCCGTCTTTCTCACGGATGTGCCCGAAGGATTTTTCAGTGAATTCACAATTCCGCGTTTGTGTTATGCAGCTTTTTTTCTCTAGGGCGAGGGAGTGGGGAGTGGTAAGGGAAGAGGTAGTCTGTAATGGTCTATTCTGTTAGAAAGTTTTGCAAGAAACTAATAGAAGTGAATAGTGTTTTTGTGGTGTTTAAAATCCTTGAAGGTTAAACCTTAGGTATCTTCTCATCCTGATTTTTTGGTGAACAAATGAAGGAACTGAAGCTCAGAGTGGTTGATGGATTTGCCCAGGAGTACACAGCTAGGAGGTGACAATTAAAACTCAAAGCCGTTTGCCCTCGCATTATTTTGGGCTTGTGGCATACTTTCCTTCTCTTTAAGTTTACTTGTTTTCAGTCATTACATTTATTTACCATGTTCTTTCAGAAAATATTACTGGCCACTTATTAGATATAAGCCAAAGTCTTGGTGATAGAGCACGTAGCAATAAAAAATTCAAAGTCAGTTTTGTAGGAAGTTGTATTCTGGTGCAAACAGATAATTAAAAAAAAAACAACAACTAAGAGTAGATTTTTAAGTGGGGACTTTCCAGGTGACGCTAGTGGTAAAGAACCCACCTGCCAATGCAGAGGATGCAAGAGATGTGGGTTCAATCCCTGATCTGGGAAGATCCCCTGAAGAAGGAAATGGCATCCTGCTCCAGTATTCTTGCCTGGCAACTTGTTTTTTTTAATCTGAGACTAGGAAATACTGTAAAAAAACAAACAGAACAGAGTATGGGAAAAGGTAATGAGGCTGGTTACAGGATACGTCCTAGTCTTCTCCTAGGGCATATAGGATTAACAAAAGCGAGCTTTGCAGGAAGGCACCATGCTTTATGCCATTACATAGGAATGTAATGCATGCTTCTTGTGGGAAAGCTTGAAAACCAGCTAAAGCAAAAGGCAAAAAAAAAAAGTGTAATCTCACCCACTAGGAATCACTGTTAACATTTTGATGTATATCTTGCAAGGTGCATCTCGCTTATTTATGAAAGAAGAATAATTTTTTGAGCACTTAGTGTGTGCCAGGCACAGTGCCCTTTAAGTGGACTATCTCCTTCAGTCCTCCAACAACCGGTGAGGTATCCTCCCCAGTTTCCAGAAGGGGGAGCTGGGGCTCGGGGAGTTAAATGAACTCAGCCAGGGTCCCACGGAGGTGAAGCGGCGGAGCCAGACCCGCCCGCAGCAGGCTGACTTCTGAGTTACCCTGCTGTGTACGCTTTTCCCTCTTTGCGCCTGCTCCCACATCGCAACCACCTTTTTATGCCAATGCACGTGTACCCACAGCATCTTTCGTCTTTGAACTTTTTATTTTATATTGAAGTAGCACTGAAGGAGGGCATGACAACCCGCTCCAGTGTTCTTGCCTGAAGAATCCCATGGACAGAGGAGCCTGGTGGGCTACAGTCCATGGGGATGCAAAGAGTTGGACACGACTGAAGTGACTTAGCACGTAGCCAGTTAACAGTGTTGTGATATGTTCAGGTGGACAGCCTGAAAGGGACTCAGCCATACGTATGCATGTATCTACTCCCACCCAGACTCCCTTCCCATCCAGGCTGCCACATAACATTAAACAGGGTTCCCTGTGGACAGCATCTTTTAAATAACCAAACAGCCTTCCACTCATGTGAGGTGTCACAGTTTTAATTAACCAGTTCCCTCTTGTTGAACACTGAGGCTGTTCCAGATTTTTCCTCCTGTATATCCCACTCTGAGTAATGGCTTCAGAGTGCTGGGCTTACACACTTGCTTAGTGATTTGCTTAATGTAAGTGCCTCTGAATCAGGGTGCCAGGGTCAGTGGGTTTGTCTGTTTTTGAAGCTTTCCACTTTGCCCTCCAGAACGGCCCTGTTTATACGTGTAAAATATTTGCAGCAGTGCTGACACCTGGTCAGTGCCCTGTAAGTCGTAGTTATCGGCATTCTCCCTCTGATGCCCTCCCTAGCCCTGGGTATTATCATCTTCCCCTTTCCCTTCATCACCAGTCAGGGCTGCTGTTTGGAGAAACAGGGAGAGGGACCATGGCACAATCAGGACTCGATCAGGGAAGCCGAGCCCTTGAGTGTTACGGAGTCAGAAAGCTATTGACCCAACTCTGGGAGTGGCTGGCGGTGTGAAGGCTCAGAGTGGGGAGATGGGGATGGGGTGGACAGTGCCGTAGGAGCCTGGCGGGGCAGTGCGTGCAGCTGTCAGAAGGCGCTGGGAGGGGCTGCTCTGGTCACCCAGGGCCGGCCTGGTGTCTGGCCTGCTGAAGGCCGACTGAGTTGGCCGTGGCACAGTGGAAAGCGGGGACACACTGGGGCCTTGGGGGCCTGTCCGCCTGCCAGTTGTCATACGCAGTCCTGTGGCCAGCCCTGACCCAGAGCCAGGGGATGGTCTGGGCAGTGTGGTTTCAGCTCAGCTGGGTCAGCACCTGATGTCCCCTGCCCACGGTGCAGTGCTCTGGACCTTGGCAGTCATTCCTATTCCTCTCTCTTCAGGTGGCAGCATAGACAGTGTCCTCTCCCAGATCGCTGCCCAGAGGAAAAAAGCAGCCGGATTATCTGAGCAGAAGCCCAGCCACCGGTCAAGTCCTGTTGGGCCAGCGCCCAGCTCCAGCCCGTCTGAACTCCCGGTCTCCCCAGCAGGCGGCAGTGCTCCTGGTGGCAAGGTGCTTGTTCTGTCTCCGCCGCCTCCTCTGATGCTCATCGGTCCTGTCCTAGCACTGCTGGCCCCTGGGGAGCGCGGGCAGTGCCGCGGTCAGGGGGTGGCTAAACCTTCCATCGCTGCTCCTGGGCTTTCCGAGAAGGCTGGTTTCCGAGGTCACACCCCATGGCCTTGGTGTTGTGTGCACGCGTGTTCACCTACCAGCTGATCTCCAAGATACCTCCAGGTGGGACGGGTGCAGAGGTGTGGGGTGCTGCTGGGGTGAGCGCCAGGTTCTGCCATCCTGCGCTGGTCATCCAGTCTCACACACCACAGGTTTTGGTTCGTTGATTTAGAGCAGAAGGGTTCTGATCTCAGCCTCACAGTTTAGCATTTAGAATGGGGCCGGTACCTGGTACACCTGTGTAAGTGTCGGGTGTTACTGTTGGCAGTCGTAGCGGTAGTATTCGCCCTCCGACCCTGTCCTCCCACCATCCACGTCTTTGGGGCATCTGCTCTGCGCTCACTTCCAGCAGCGAGGGTCCAGCAGTGAGTGAAGGGCTTGGGGACCGTTCTCTTGCTGTCACTACAGACAGCATTGTGTCTCTTCTGGAGAAGGGAGGATGCTATGGGGCATTCGTCCTTGCTGATTCTTGAGGGCATCAGTGACATCTCAATGGAGATCTGAAGGGTGAGGTGAAAGGGGCAAGGGTGGGATGGAATGAGACTGTCCCAGGGTGAGGTGATGGCATGTGCAGGGCTCCAGAGGTGAGTGTGTGACATAGGAAAGGAGCTATAGGAAGGATGGTGAGCAGGACAAAGCGGAGGCCTCATCTGCCTCCATTAATGAGCCCCAGAGCAGTTACCGGGCTTCTTAGGTGGCCCTAGGGGTAAAGAACCTGCCTGCCAATGCAGAAGACATAAGGGACATAGGTTTGATCCCTGGGTTGGGAAGATCCCCTGGAGGAGGGCATGACAACCCGCTCCAGTATTCTTGCTGGAGAATCCCATGGACCGAGGAGCCTGGTGGGCTACAGTCCATGGGGTCGCAAAGACTCGGACACGGTTGAAGCAGCTTAGTATGCAAGCACAGAGCAGTTACCACATTGTTAGCACCTGTGGGGTTTGCAATGGGTGAGACGCCCCACATGCCTCAGGGAGTGGAGGTCTTCCCGTGTCTTCAGAATCTGCCCCCTCCACCTCCGCAGTCCCTCCACCTGGGTTGATTAATGGAGTAAGCCCCAGTGTGGGTCCTAGTCATGAACGTGAACTGGCTCCTTTAACAGCCGGTCCCCTGGATTCTCCGTGGGGGTGTCATAGCCATTCCCTCTTCTGAGAGGGCCCCAAGTCCAGGCACAACCCCACTTTCATTTCATTTTCTGTGTCTTAAGCTTTCTCCCTGGGAAAAGGTAGATCATCTGAAGGCCTCAGCCCTGGACCTTTGCCCAGAGTGCTTTCAGAGATTAATATCGTAATGGATGTACGAGAAATAGTCTTTGTTTTCTGTCCAACGACTGTTAGTTACACAGTTTTCTTCATTATTCAAAGTCCCTTATGCAATTGGTCCTATGTAATTAGTTTCTTTACAGTGTTAACTCCAGAAAAAAAAGTCTGTATATGTAAGCATATTTTCTATTATGTTCAAAATTACTTGTGTATTAGGATTTATGAAATTAAGTTCCTTTTAGAATTCAACTCTAGGTACAAAATGTCTACTGATCCTTCAATATGTTTTATTTCATCCGATAGTAAAATTTCTATAATTAACATATTTCTCTTTTTGCCTTTGCTGCTAGGAAACTCAGGTACTCATTACAGTAAATCTGCTACTCTAGAATTTTGATATAGTTTTCCTCTTCTCTGTTGTCTAAAATTTTCTGTTTCTATTTTGATGGTCTTATTAGATGTGTTATATATTGTTAGCTTCCTTTCATTGGTGTTGGGAATAGGGAGGCATCTAAGTTATAAATTATATTAACCATTGCATCACCTGGATGCACCTGTCATATTTAAGGTATGTACAAGCTGTGTTCTGATGAAAGAAAATTGTGTCAGAAGATGCATTCAGGAAACAGAAAACTGGAGAAACAATCCAGTTCAATGATCACCTGATATTCCTAGCATAAGAATATGCTGTAAACTTGGGGAGCTACTTAAAAACTCAGATTTCTGGGTTCCACACAGCTTAACTAAATGAGCTTCTCAGGGTAGGGTCTGAGGAATCTGTTTTTTCTCTTCCGGGAGTGTTGCAGCCAGCCCAGCCCAGGTTCTTAGAAATCACTGCCCTAAATCAAAGGACACAGGAGTGGGCTTTCTGTCAAAGGCTCTGGCAGCAAAATGGAGACATGAAGTGCTTTTCAAAGACTCCCTTAGGAAGAATTAGAAATTAGTATTCAAAATATAAGCCTGCTGATTCTGGGTTTTGCACTTTGTTTAAACCAAGCACTCTGCAGGGGTAGAATATTTGTAAGGCATGACTTCTGACGTGAAGTGTGCCTTAGCAGATACAGAATGGAGATGGGGTGGGGCCGGAGTGTGCTTCACTTCCCAGATCTCAGAAAGCCCAAAGGCCCCCTGGGAATATCAGCTTTCTGTTCCCACCCAAAAGGACAATGGTTGAAAACAACGCATTTCTTATGCTTGCACATCTGTGGCTGGTCAGCCTAGTCTGGACTTAGCTAGGCAGTGCTTCTGGACTGAGGGTATCTCTTACATGTCTGACTGTTGGCTAGGGTGATCAGAACAATGGGTCCATGTGTGTCCACAACAAGTTTGGACATGTTCTCATGGCAACAGTCAAAGGCATTAGTTGAAAACCAATGAAGTTTAAGCAAGTCGTCACACCCGCTGCAGGAGACCACACAGCTATGTAGCAAAGAGTATGGGTACAGGAAGGGTGAAGATGATGCCATGACATGATCAGTCTGCCACACTGGAGATGAAAGGAATAGTTCAAATATTTCAGAGTATCCCAAATCTTAAATTTACCTGCCTCCTCCCCAGTAATGTTGCCTACAGGCCTAGAGTATTGTGTTTCTTTGCCCATTACTGAAATAGAATCTGTTTTGTAGGGATATCCCAGTTGTCTCCTGCTTAATCAGAAGCTTTATTATGGAATGGCTGTCTTTACAAAAAAAGCAGAAGAAAGAATCCATTAATAATATAGACAGTTTATTGACAAAATTTTTTAAAGTCTAAGAAAGGGACTTCTGTTTCCACTCTGGGATGTAGTTAGCAAGAAGGAACATTAAAGGCTTAGCAGAAGGAAAGGTGTACCCATTTCTAGGCATGAAAACTATTTATCTTGGTCTCTACTACCCTATATGAGATAACCAATTTTTAACATAAACTATAAGACATGTAAAAATGTAAGAAACACCAGACTCCCAACAAACAAGGCAGTCATCATAATCTGATGTAGGTGTGAAACAGGTGTTGGAATTATGTAACAGAAAGTTTAAAAGAACTACAATTAATATGCTGAAGGCTCTAGTGGACAATCTGAACAGCATGCAGACTCCTGTGATTAGCAATTTTAGCAGAGAAATGGAAACTATAAGAACCAAATGGAAATGCTAGAAATAAAAAACACAGAGATGAGGAATGCCTCTGATGGGCTCCTCAGTAGAAATATTCTTTCCTTGACACAGCTAAGGAAGGAATCAATGAACCTGAAGATAGGGCAATAGAAATTACCCAAACCGAAACATGAAGTAAACAAGGAGTCAAAGCAAAAACAAAAGCTGAGCACCCCAAAGTTGTGAGCCAGTAAGAAATGCTCTCATGCAGGCAGTTGGCACCCCTGAAGAGAGAGGGAGAAGGGTGGGGCATAAGGAATATATATATTTTTAATGGCCAAGAATTTCTCCCCCAGTTAATTACAGATGCCAGACCACAGGTCCAGGAAGCTCAGGGAACACGGAATAGGATAAATACTGAAAAAGAGCACTTCATTCGCGTAATTCACCAGGTTAATAGGCTGAAGAATAAAATGCAGAAAAAGCACCTGGCAAAACTCAAACTCCATTCATGATCAGAACTTTTTGGCAAACCAAGAATTGAAAAGAACTTCCTGGACCTCATATAAAATACCTGTGCTTAGAATTGTCCTTGATGATAATTGACTGAGTGCTTTTCACCAAAGATCAGGAACAAGGATGTTGCCGCTCTCAACTTTGTACCAAAACCTGTCCTATAGCTAGTGTGATAAGGTAAGGAACAGGTTAAAGGTACACAGATAGGAAAGGAAGAAATAAAACTATCTCTAGTTTTAGATGATATGTTTGTTTACTCAGAAAGTGCAAAAAAGTTACACAAACCCTCCTAGGACTAAAAGGTGAGTTCAACAGGGTCGGGATATGAAGTCAATATACAAAAGTCAATTGTATTTGTATACAGTAGCAATGAACAATTAGAACTAGAATTATCAGACTTTTTAAATTTGAAACTGAAAGTATCATTTACAGTACATTAGAAATGTATTATATAGAAATGAAATTATATGAAAATGTATTATGAGAATGAAATCCTTAGGTATTAATAAAGTACGTGCAGAATCTGTAGGTTTAAAACCACAAGACATTGATAAATAAGCATAAATAAATGGAGAGATAGAAGGCTCAATATTGTTAAGGTATCGTTTTTTTTGCAGTTTGATCTATAGATTCAATATAATCCAAATTAAAATCCCAGCTAGCTCTTTTTGTAGAGATCTGGAAAGTGATTCTGAAATTTATTTTAAGATGTAAAGAAAGTATAAGCAAAAGAATTATAAAAAAGATTCATACTATCAATACCTAGTTTTAAGACTTACTGTAAAACAGTATGGTATTAGGGAAGGACAGGCACATAGGTCATTGAAACAGAATAGAGAGGCTAAAAATAGACCTAACAAGAAGAGTCAACTATTTTTTTTCACAATGGTCCAAAGCCAGTTCAACAAAGAACAGGTAGTCTTTTCAACGAATAGTGCTGGAACGATTGAATATGCAAGAAAATGAACCTCCACATATATCTCGCAGTGAATTCAGAGATTAACTCAAAATAGATCATAGACTGAAATATAAAATGAAACACTATAAAATTCCTAGGGGAAAATCTGTGTAACTTTGAATTTGGCATGGAGTTTCAGATATAGTACCAAAAGCATGATCCATAAAAGAAAAAATGTTAAATTGGACTTCATAAAAATTCAGATCTTTTGCCAACAAGAGACAGCGTTGAGACTGAGAAGACAAGCCACGCCCTAATAGGCAAAATATTTGCAAATCATGTGTCTGATAATGGTTTTGTATCCAGAATAAAGAACTCTCAAAAGTCAACAATAAGTAAACAACCAACAAATTTAAAGATGGGCAAAATATCTGAACAGATTGTTCATCAGAGAAGATATATAGATGGCATGTAAACATCTGATAAAATGTTCAGCATCATTATTTAGGAAATGCTACTTATAGCCACAATGAAATAGCACTCTACACCTGTTATTAGACTGCCTAAAAATTAAAAAAAAATTAAGTTACAAGAGCAGTGAGAATGTGGAACTACTGGAATTCTCATTCATTGCTGATGGGAATGCAGAAATGATACAGCCACCTTGAAAACGTACATTGAGCATGTGACCTGTCTGTCTGTCTCCTAGATACTTACCCAAATAGATTTTTTAAAAAATTATATTTATACAAAAGTCAGTTTGTGAATGTTTACAGCAGTTTTTCATAAATACCCTAAAATAGAAACATCTCATAACAGGTAAATATGTACGCTAACTGTGGTAATACCCATGCAATAGAATATGTGCATGCATGCTAAGTTGCTTCAGTCGTGTCCAACTCTGTGCAACGCTATAGACTGTAGCTTACCAGGCTTCTTTGTCCATGGGATTCTCTAGACAAGAATACTAGAGTGGGTTGCCATACCTGCCTCTATGGAATCTTCCCCACCCAGGAACTGAACCCATGTCTCTTACGTCTCCTGCATTGGCAGGCAAGTTCTTTACCACCAGCACCACCTGGGAAGCCCATACAATGGAATACTACTCAGCAATGGAAAAGAATACAGTATTGACACATGCAGTAACTTAAATGAATCTTAGAAGTGTTATGCTGAGCCAAACAAAAAAGTGTACATATCATGTGATTCCATGTGTATGACAGTTTCTTCAAAATGCAAAATTATAAGAATGGAAAACAGATCAGTTATTTCTTTGGATTGGAGTGGGGGAAGAGTTAACTAGAAACGGACAGCACAAGGGAATTTGGGGGATGATGGAACTGTTCCATATGGTACTCTGTTGGCGGATACACAGCTCTGCTTATTTATCAATACCTGAAGAGTTGTACACAGAAGTTATTTTTACTGCATGTGGATTTTAAATCAACCAGGAACTAAGGATGTATGCAGACTGTGACAACAGATCTAGCTGTATTACAAGTTAATGACATACCTACACTGTAGGAGGTGGGCAAAAACATGTCAGTGGAGATTGTAAGAGTAAAGACATAAAGAACTGTAGATAAGCATTGTATTCTAGTTGGGTTTTTTTTTTCTTGTAGGTGTTATAGGCTAGCAATTCTGAAGCTGCTTTACATGTGTGTGTGTATATATATATATGTATATATATACTTAACACATATACTAAGGTTGAACAAATAATGAGCTCAGTTTTTAGCTGTCAGAGATTGAGTCATAGGGAAAATGGTGGAACTAGCCCTGTGGATATTGGACTGGAGTCAGAGCTATCAGTATGAATCAGTATGAATGCATGCTTGTAAGTATACCTGACTAAGTATGGCTACATGTGTGTGCGTCGGTGAGTAGACTTCATGTATTTACTCGCTCTGTTCCCTGAGAGGACCTAGGAGTGGGATCCCAGGAGCTGTGAACAGCCTACCGTCCAGACTTTTATCATCTGAATGCCACCCTCCAATAAAAGGGACCAGGGCTTAACAATAGTGTTGGATTACAGCCCAGAGCATACATATCCACAAGCCCATACTGGTCTGAATAAATAAGTGGGGGAGAAGGAACAACTCTTCTGGATAGATTTCCAAGTAATAAATATGGAAGGAATAAGGGAAATAACAAATCACCATTAGAACCTCACAGTAGTAATTGCTCCAGAGAAGATGCACCAGAGAATGTTAAAGTTAACAGACAAACAGGAAAAAAAAAATTTAGCTCAAAATGTCTCCCCAGATATTTATTGATTATAAAGGGAAAAATCATAACTTCATAATGGAGCGATCTGACAGCCCCCACCTTAACTAAATCATCGTCAGGGATAAGGTATTGGTGCTTTGTAGCTCCTGGTGTGATGCTCTGAGAACGGCCCATCACCTCTGTGGTTGTCAACTTAAAGATGCATAAGGAAATCTAATTATGAGGAAACAGGACAAACTCACTACAAATACCTGACAAATGCCTGACCAGGACTTTCTGAAAGTAACAAGGTCATAACAGACGAGGCAAGACCAAGGAGTTATCACAGGTTGGAGGAGTATAGGAAGACAAAATGGGTCAGTGCAGCATGAATCCTGGACCAAAGGAAGAATCAGTGAAGCAACTACAGATATTTGAGTACCACCAGCAGTTTAGCTGATGGTACCATCCCAGTGTTAATTTCTTAATTCCCATAATTGTAAGTCTACAAGTACTCACAAACATAGAAAACAAACTTGAGGTTACCATAGGGGGTGGGGAGGGACAAATTAGTATGTGATAAACAGATATAAACTATTGCATATAAAATAGGTAAGTAACAAGGATTTACTGTAGAAGCAGTAAATCCCTGTGTATAAGCACGGGATGATACCCAATATCTTGTAATAACCTATAATGGAATTCAGGTGGAAAAACCCCACCTGAATCACTAACTCTGTACACCCCAAACTGGCACAACATTGTGGATCAACTGTGCTTCTATAAAGTAAACAAAAGTACTTCAAAATAAAAAGGCTTTTTTCGTGTGCAACACATACAGAGGAAAAATAGTAAGTGTTCTGTGGTGAGTGGTTGAAAGTGACTGGTTTAGATGAAGGAACATCCAGAGCAGAATGGGCCTACGTGTGTTAAGAAGCCACACTTTCATTTTAGAGGTGGTCAGTGAGCAGTCACCAGGCTTCCCAGGTGGCGCTAGTGGTAAAGAACCCGCCTGCCAGTGCAGGAGATGCCAGAGAGATGTGGGTTCAAGGGCTTGCCCTGGTGGCTCAGAGAATCTGCCTGCAATGTGGGAGACCTGGGTTCGACCCCTGGGTCGGGTAGATCCCTTGGAGAAGGGAATGGCACGCACTCCAGTATTCTTGCCTGGAGAATCCCACGGACAGAGGAGCCTGGTGGGCTACAGTTCCTCGGTCGCACAGAGTCGGACACGACTGCATCAACTTAGCATGGCATGGCAGTGAGGTCAGGGCACCCGGCCAAGGACGTGATGCTGGCCGCTCTCTGGACAGGACCGGGACCGGGCTTTTCTGGCTCCTCTCGTGCCGCTTTTTCCATCCCCTTCCCCGTCTCTTCTCAGGGGAGGATTTTCCTGAACCTGGTTTGATATTGTGGTTTCTGCTTTGCATGTTTTCTACGAAGTAGATTTCATAGTCCTGGTTAGACATCTCGTTGCATCATATATCGCCCGTGTTCCCTGTTGTGGGTGTCTGTCTGAATCATGTCTGCCCTCCAGGTGATGGCTTGTATCTTTGTCTTACTCTTTTCAGCAGAAACTGGAGATGAGCAAAAGGCCTCCATCTGGAACCTCCACGACCTCCAAAAGCACCTCCCCCACCCTCACGCCTTCCCCTTCTCCCAAAGGGCACGCGGCCGAGTCCTCCGTGTCCTCCTCCTCGTCCCACCGGCAGTCCAAGAGCAGCGGGGGCTCCAGCAGCGGCACCGTCACTGATGAGGGTGAGCCCCCCGAGAGGCCCGGGAACCCCACCCTCCCCTCTTCGCCACGGTGACCGAGCAGGTGCCCTGCATTGCCAGAGCTGTCCTGGGTCAGGCGTTTTTTAGTTTTTTCAGTCTAAAACATCTTTTCCTTCCCTGATTATACCTTGCATCTTTGTTTTCACTGAGCTTAGGTACCTCAGAGGTATACAGCAGTCCCCGAATGTAGGTTGGCTTTGTTTGTGTACATGGGTGTGCGCCTGTAAAACCGCTTTTCCGCCGCCCATTGTATACCTTTCCCTGAGCCTCGTACAAATCAGAATCCTGTCAGTTGCAAGGGATGAAATCTCCATTCAAACTGATTTAAGCAAAACAAAACCAAAACACTGATCATCCGTGGGCTCATAATGGAAGTATCTAGGGTGTGCTTCAAGCATGTCTAAATCCATGTGCCTTGGAATGTTTCACTCCATCTTGCAGGTAGGCTGTCTTCAGGCGGTGGCAGGGACACCCCCTGCAGCTTCATGCTTCTTCCTGGTAACCTAGACACCCCAGTACAAAGTGTGCTCCTTTCTTAGCAGCTCCGGCAAAACCCCACGGGTAAAGATCATTGTCCTGTCTTGGCTGTATTTGTAATGACTTGGGTTGTTTGCCCATCCTTAACGATCTCTGTGTCCCCAAGGGCAGAGTGTGTCTACCTTTGGAGCCAGGGCCAGTTAGGGTCAGATTGTGTGGATTGGGAGCAGGAGGGAAGTAGCTCCTTAAAGGAAAATGGAAGTGTATGGAGGGCAAGTAAAAGCAGCAGGTGTAACTGGGAGGACATTGGAACCTGCGTGAGTGGGGGCGATGAGGAGAGGGAGATGGATCAGACGGCAGGGAGGGAGTTGGAGGCCCTGTAGTGAGGTCCCAGAGAGAAGCAGCTCATCCTTTTAAAAACTGCTCTCTGGTGGCTCCTGGGAGCAGGGGTGGGAGAGGAGGGAGCGGAGCTTTGCTGAGAGCTCGGGACCAGGCAGGTGCAATCAGAGTATGAATCAGGCAGGCGAGGAGATTCTCACTGTGTGTGGTTTGCAGGCGTCTCACTGCAGCTGCTGGGAGGGAGTGAAGAGCAGGTTCTGCCCGGCAAGTGATAAGTTGAAATCAACTGCACAGGCTATGGTCTGTGCTGCATTAATAAATGTACACTACCACGGGCATCCTCTTTATTTGGGACTGCTTTTATTGTTTTGTGCTGTCTAGTGTGATCATTTATGAGAGCTTCAGAGGTTGGCTAGCAACCCATTCCTCTCTGTGTTTTCTTTATATATACACATATAATGATCTTCTTTTTTTTGCCACACCACGTGGCTTGTGGGATCTTAATTCCCCAACCAAGGATTGAATCCGGGTCCTCTGCAGTGAGAGCATGGAGTCTTAGCCACTAGACCACCAGAGAATTTCTGTGTGGTATCTTAAGTTCCCCACCCGTGAACTCTCCTGCCTCAGAAGGCCTCAGGAATCTAAACTCCTAGTGGTTCAGCTTGGGATCTGTGCCCTGCATTTTCCCCCCAAAAAGTTGAGACAGTGGATATCTGATTGCCCTGTCTGTGCCCACTCTTCTCCCCTTTCATTCATTATTGGAAAAAAACGTTTGCAAAGCCTCATTGGGATAAAAAACAGAAGAGGACTTGAGAGCAGATTTTTTTTAAGGTTACCTTCTCTGGCTTAGAAAGCCTACTTTTGCTTCCTGGGGTTTCTGGGTCCTGAGGCAGCAAGACCCTTGTCCTGCAGGCATTAGATTATCACAGACCAGAGCCTGAAGTCCATCACTGGAGAGCCATTCTTGATGATATTTTTGTGGAAAACCCGTAGCCTCGGTGAAGGGTCACGTGCAAGCCTTTGCCCTGCTCATGCCGTGTCCCTGTGTTCACTCCTGCTGAAGGAAATGGTGAGGTGGTGACAATGTCGTGTAAGCTTCACATTCGTTCCATGAAGGTGGCTGAGGCAGCCCTAGGAGCTATAACTCGTGCTGATTGTTCGTCGGGCTGGGGATTCAGATGCATTCTGCATAACAACATTAAGTGATTATAACCCAAGGTGGGGTTAAACCTGTGTTACCAGCAAGGCGTGGAGCATCACTGTGGGCTTCCCTGAAGAGTGGCCCTTGGGCCGGACTGCAGGGACTGAGCAGATAGTGTGCAGCTGGGCCAGAGCCGATTGTTAAATTTATAGGAAACATAGGCTGCTGCTGCTGTTAAGTCGCTTCTGTCGTGTCCGACTCTGTGCGACCCCATAGACGGCAGCCCACCAGGCTCTTCCGTCCCTGGGATTCTCCAGGCAAGAATACTGGAGTGGGTTGCCATTTCCTTCTCCAAGGAAACATGAGGTGGCAATTAAACACAGCTGTTAAAAGTCAGGTTACAACAACAACAAAAATATGTGTTAAAAAAATAGATAAGTCAAATTACATGAACTTATATTTAAGCTGATTATGCTACATGTTAAGGTATGTGGCATTTAAATCAAAATATATTATTTTCTAATCTTTTACTGCATTTTAATATCTGTGCTCTTGAGGTTCTTTATGTCTCTTTTTTCTTCATTGTGGGAATACTGTGTACTGATGTATTACTTCTGTGCGTCTTTCCCAGTTCCATTTCCAGGAACATGACATTGGCAGGTTGAAATCAGCCTTGATGTATTTCCACCATGGAAATCAGCAAATACCCACCAGGACTTGAGTTAATGTTGTATTGATCATCTGGATGTCATCTAGACAAAGTTGATTTTGCAGGTTAAACTCTATAAAGTGTCATGTCTATAGCTGTTCTGGCACTGAAAATTGAGAAAATAGTCTAAATAGTTTTTCAGAATTTGAAAACCTTTATCTGATTGAGCAAAGTTGCTCACATGAAGTTCTAACATTTGTCTTCGTTGTTTCATTTCATCTCACGTTTTCACCTAAACAGAAGCATCAGCAAGCCTTCATGTAGGAACTATGCTCATTGGCTCTGGCTACAAGAATGATGCAAAAATCAGTGAGACATTCAGGGAAATGCCTGATATCCAGTAAAGGCATTGGCTATATGGAGTTTATAATATAGAGTATCATGTAGTTTATTATCATATATAAATTGTGCACATACATCCTTACATTGGTAAAATCTGCCGTAAAGTTTTGTATTTACATACATGCATATATTCCCCCTCCCAGAAAGCCAGCACACAGATGTGAACAGAGACTCATGGAGGGAACAGCATTATAGGCATCCTGAATCTATAATGGATTATGTGTGGGCTGGGACTCATTTCATCTCATAACATCATAGCTCATTAGCAGCTCTTCCGTGAAGCTTCTCTGGTCCCTTGGGCGGGTCAGCTGTCCTCTCTGTCCCCTTAGTCATGCCCTTCACCATGGGCTCACCACCTGTGGCAGAGTGGTGTGTGGCAGAGGCTTGGTAGCTACAGCACTGGGTCTGCATCCCCACTGTGCTGTGGACCTGTGGTGTGGTCTCACCCGAGATATGGTCCCAGCTCTCTGTCCTTCCTCATCTGTAATGGGAGCAGTGATAGGGTCTGCCTCGTGGGGTTGTTAGGAGCAGATGGGTATCCTGTCCAGGGTGCCTGATGGTGAGCACGGCACATCACCCGTCACCCTCTTCAGCATATCCTCCCAGTCACATCGAGTTCCTTTGCCACGGGGACCTGCCGGTACTTGCATTCCCAGCGTGCAGCAGGCACGGCAGCTATTGCTGCGTGATGGGTGAGTGGGCCTCTGGCCACCTAACCTCCGGTCCACTGTTCTGTAAGCGGCGCCCACTGCCCCAGGACCTTTGCACTTGCTGTTCTCTCTGCCTGGATCCTGCCGGCGCGCTTCGCCTCGGTGTCTGCACAGCTTGCTCCTTCGTTTACCGCTGAAACGTCGCCTCCTGAGAGACCGTCCCCGACCACCGTCTGTAAAACAGCATCCTCACGTCCCCCATCAGCCTCCCCGACACTGCTCTGTTTTTCCTCGCTGACCCGTCAGCTTGCTTGTGGTCTGTCTTGGTCCCTGTTGAGTCCCCAGTGCCCAGTCTGGTAAACCCCTTTTGAATGTGTGATTCTTTAAGCCCCCCAGATGCTGGTCTGGTCTCCTTCCCTCTCTCCCTCCCTGCTCTGATAACTTGATAGGCCAGATCTTCTGTTTTCCCCTGGTCTGTGTCCATCTGGCTCTCCCGTTCCCCTCAGACCCGCCTTTTCTTCAGGAAGCCCACAGTCGCCAGATGCTTAAGCCACACCTTGACCCTGAAGCCCAGCTGCCTGTTCTCTCCAGGTCTTTCTCCGTCTAGCTGAGGGGTGCTAGGCTTAGTGTTTGCCCAGCAGGCAGCTCGAGGCCCACCTGCAGCTGCTCCCCAGGGGTGCAGTGTGGTCCTGTCCTCTGTGTCAGGGCTTCTTGTAGAATTTCATTTGAAATAAGATCACCACGACTTTATGAACGTTTGAAGACCACTCTTGAGGCAATTTTACCAAATTCTAAAATATCTTATTTTACATTCTTTCCCTCTTGAAGATGAACTGACTGGAATCCTTAAGAAATTATCACTTGAGAAATATCAGCCCATTTTTGAGGAGCAAGAGGTAAGAATATTCTTTCTGAGTGTCCACTGAAATCTTAGCATAAAACAGTTGTCTAAATATGTAGGTTGTCATTCTTTAAGCCTGGATTGATCTTTTTCATTGAGATGGCTGAAGAGATAGAATTTGTGTTCAGCACATTTGGTTCATTCATAACAGTGAAATCCTGGGGACCTTATGGCTTGTTTTGTTGTAATAAAATTTTGTAATTTTGAGCTCTGCTCTCTGTAGTAAAGTTTGTGCCTGTTCTGTTCTCCTTTAGTTGAAGGGGATTGCCTAGCCAGTTTTTAGGTTTAAAGTAGATTAAAAGCAAACTCTAATGAGTCTGTGTTAAGTATCTGGACATAAAGTGTCTGTTAATCTAAGAGAATTCCTGTTTGCTCACACTCACAATCCTAAAAGCACTCACAGTCACGTTCTTAAAAATTACTGTTCTGCAGTTTGGCAGTTTCTCAAAATGTTGAAGAGAATTACCACATGACCCAGTGGTCATACCACTTGTAGGTGGGTATATACCCACAATAATTGAAAGCATACATTCAAACAGTGTTCACAGCAGCGCTATTCATAATAGCCAAAAGGCAGAAATAGTCCAAATGCCCATCAATTGGTGAATAAATAAATAAAATGTCTTATCACTCTACCTTGGAATGTAGCTTGGCCATTAAAAAGAAAGAAGTACTGATACACTCTGCAAAACAGATGCGCCTTGAAGACACTGCTAAGTGAAAGAAGTTAGTCACAAAAGGCCACATATGGTATGACTCCATTTATATGCAGTGTCCAGAATAGGCAAATCTGTAGAGACAGAAAGTAGATTAGTGGTTGCCAGGGAATGTGGGGAGGAGAGAATGGGAGTGATTGCTAATGAGTATGGGTTTTCTTTTTTGGGGTGATGAAAATGCTCTAAAATTAAGTGTGGTGACGATTGCGCAACTCTGTACTAAAAAATCATTGAGTTGTACACTTTAAATGGGTGAATTGTATGGTAAGTGAATTACATCTCAATAAGATGTTAAAATTTTTACTGTCAGCGAAATAAAACTCCTCAGTGGGCCTTTTAGCTACCAGGGTACAGTCACGGGCTTAGAACATTTCAGTGCCCAGTTTAGTGCACGACAACGGTCACAGTTAATGTGGCGTGAGAATCCCACCTTGTCTCCAGCAAGCTTGAGACCCAGTTAAGGAGTTTGTGTTTCGGTTCAAGAAGTCAGGGGTGCCGCGACTTTCTTCCTTTTTTTGGCTTTTCTGCACTATCCCGTCTGTCCTTCCTGCCTTCTCGATGCCTTAAGCTTCAGTGGCAGTTTTTCTCGTTGTCAAAAAAAATCTTTCCTGTTTGCAGATGGCTGCCTGCTTTTATTTCACGTGTCCCATGCTTCCTGAGGAGCTGGCCACGGGGACCCACACGCGGGCTGGGTGTGGGGTCTCTGCCTCAGGTCAGGGGAGCGTCCAGCAGGGTCGGGGGGCAGGTGTTTCCCATCAAAACCACGTCACCTGTTCCTTCAGCCTGCCAGTGCCTGGTGATCTGTAAAGCCCCAGAGAGATGCAGGGAGCTTTTCGTTATCAGAGGGGCCCTCTCTGCATCTCAGAGAGAGCATGGTGTTTGGTACAGGAGCAGACCCTTCCTCACTGACTCAAATTTGGCTCAAGATTTTTTTTTTTTAAATCCAGGAAAGTAAAATGAAAATTGAAAGAAAGGGAAGAAATTTCTCTTGGAGCTGAGGCCCCGGCAGGGATGCCAGAAATGTTAGAATTTCTCTGGTTAAAAACCAGGGATCCAACAGCTTTGAGATGCCCATTTTCTGAGCCCTTCTCTGCCTCGGTTCTCCACAGTCTTTCTTGCCCTTATTGCTTCTGCTTGTTGGTTTTCTCACTCTGTCTTCCCACAGTCGGCACCGCTCTTGGCCTTGGGGGTGACCGCGGCGGCACCGCCGTATACTCGCATGTTCTGTGCGGCCTCCTGTGCTGTTCAAAGTGCAGCGACATTGCAGTGAACTTTCTAGCAGCAGGACTTGGCTTTCTACCACCCTGGTCACCAGATTACCGTATCAGACACTTCCCTTACTTATTTTGTTTTCAGAGTCTTTCCAGAATGCACTTCTAAACATTCCAGGGTGAGAGCTGAGGAGAGCTTATTTTTAATGATATTTTCAAATAAACATTCAGCATAAAGCCGGGAATTGAAATCAGTAAATCATCATCAATTCACTACTAGTAAGCACTTATAGCTCATAATCACAATAGTCCGGTTGTGGTTGGGAGAAAAGAGGGGTGGCACCGAGCAGCTGGTAGCAGATCCCCCTCTCTCTGCCCAGGTGGATATGGAAGCCTTCCTCACGCTCACCGACGGGGACCTGAAGGAGCTGGGTATTCAGACAGACAGATCCAGGCAGCAGATCTTGGCAGCAATTTCTGAACTGAACGCAGGCAAGGTATTGTTCCCAGTCTCTTTCTCTTTCTGCTTCAAACAGCCGAGAGCGTCACTCGGATCCGTGGCCCTGGTGTTCCAGGGACCTTTGTGGTCTGATTTTGTCTCCCCCACATACCTCGTGGAGGCTGGCCCTGCTCACACAGGCAGCGGGTCACTGCCTGCCAGTATGTCTGCTCCTTTCCCAGGCCTCTCTTCTCATAGGATGGTTTCTCTTTGGATCCAGCTTAAATATTCCCTCCAGTCATCTCAACCCACAGGGCTGGGTTTTGCCCTCTGGAGCACAGTGGAAGTTGATGAACACAGGGCCCCAAGTCAGGCTGACCCAGCTCCTCCACTTACAGTGACCCTGGGCAAGTTGCACCCCTCTCTGAGCCTAGCTTTCTGGTCTGGAGGGTGGGGGTGGTGGGCTGACTGTCAGGACCGAGATGCTCAGAGATCTGCCAGTCACTGTTGTGACTGTGGGCATCCTGCACTTCTGTCATCAGCTTTAAAGCTAAAGATTAGCAACGCCCCCACCCACCCACCCACCCAAAGGCACGTGTGCAAAAAGCAGACAAAACGCAGAAGCAAGGCGCCGGTCCCTGCGTCTGTGCAGTTGCCCTTAGGATGCTCGCATTCCTCCGCCTTCTGCCTTTTCTTCTACTGGGGGCTGGAGTTTTTTGTCCCGTATTCCACAGCAGCGTACTGAAAAACCCAAACAAAGTTTTTGGCCAAGCCAATATACTTGCTGACATGATGCTCCTTCACACTTTACCTTACAGCTCCTCACTCGCTGGGCACTAACGGGATGTTTCCATTATAAATAGGATCAGGGTGGACTTCCCTGCCTTTATGCTTTTTCTTCTGTTGTTGTGTTCCTCAGGCTGTGTTCCACAACATGAGGTTATGTCAGAGACTGTGACCGTTTTATGGTTCTGTCTATATGTTGCCGGGTAGGCACAGAAATATTGATTGGACCGTGGTGACGATGGCAAGTGAACATCCGTGTAGCATCTTGTCATTCGCAGATCACTCCACATCCATGTCCTTGGTTAATTTGGGCAACCGGTACCCTCACAGTTCCCTTGTTCAGCCCAGGAGCAGAGCTGGGGATGGGGAGGACGGATCTGTATGGAGGCAGCTCCCCCGGCCAGCCCCTCGCCCGCTCAGGCTGGGGGCTGGTTTTATTGCCGTTGTTGTCATCACTGTTTTGCTTGTCTGTAGGCTCTGGGGTGCGCTTCCCTGCTAGCTCAGTGGTAAAGAATCTGCCTGCCAATGCAGGAGATGCAGATTGAATCCTTGGGTCAGGAAGATTCCCCTGGAGAAAGAAATGGCCACCACGCCAGTGTTCTTGCCTGGGAAATCCCGTGGACAGAGCAGCCTGGCTGGCTGCAGTCCATGGGGTCACAAAAGAGTCAGACACGTCTTAGAGACTAACCACCAACATCTAGGCTGCGAAGTGGGCCTTCCAAATGTTGTGGCTGGCGTTGCTACCCATGTATGTGAGCCTGAGCATTTCCCGCAGGTCTTTTCTGCTCTGTAAGTAGTCTTTTCCTTGATTCTGCTTACCTGTCTAAGACACTCACTGCCCCGCTTTACAGAGAGGGAAGCAGAGGCTCCGAGAGGGACTGTGAGCCCTGACCCCCAGACCCACACCATTTCTGCTCTTGCCTTAGACATGAAGGGCGGGAGGTGGGCAGGTCTTGGCTGCTAGGAAGGGTTCATCCAGGGAACAGAAAGCTTAGGGTGGCTTACTGTGGGTGGATCGCCCGAAGCTAGCACTGAAGTCTTTGGACCATTGATTTATTCATGAAAAAATTGTCCTTTGACTCTCTGCCGTGTCCCAGGTACTGTGTGAGTGCTGAGCACGGAGAATCACTCTGAGCCCAGCTCTGCTCTGAGCACATCACTTCTCACTCATGTCACCCTCGCGGAAAGCCTCTGCGGTTGGTTCCAGTCTATAGATGTGGGCACTGAGACCCAGAGAAGTCAGGGAACTTGCCCGTAGTCACCCAGTCAGTGAGTGGCAGAGCCAGGGTTAGAATCCAGTGTCTGTGTCCTGGCCTGGGTGGTGTCCTGCCTCGGTGCAGTCCACGCGCACAGGAGCGTTAAGCTGCCATGAGAGCTGCCGGTGAGTGGGGGGGCCTGGAAGACATCCCCGAGGAAGGGCCGGAGGGCCGCCCTCTGAAGGAAGATAAGAACCCCCTGGCAAAGGGGCAGAAGAGGGGTACGGGCAGAGGGAAGCACGTGTGTGCACAGGTGCTGCATCGACATGTGTGGTGCACTTCAAGAACTAAACGGGACTTCCCTGGTGGTCCAGTGGTAAGACTCCAGGCTTTCACTGCAGGAGGCACGGGTTCAGTCCCTAGTCAGGGAACTAAGATCCCACATGCTGTGCAGTGTGGCCAAACGTTTTTAAAAATTAATTAATGAAAAGAGCTAAAGAAGCGGCTGAATCATGGAGAGCAAGGAGCCTGGTGTGAGAGGGGGCCGGAGGGGACAGATGGGGGCTCCCGGCGTGGCCGTGGGGTAGCCCAGCCAAGCACAGAGGCTTGTGTGAGGGGACAAGGTGAGTGATGGGCAGGAGGCTCTCGCTCCGGAGTTGGGACCCTCCCTTCTTCAGGCCGTGAGGGCCAGACGTCTGAGCCAGGGAGGGGATGGAGGTGACGAAAGCCAAGCCTAGACCAGTCGAAAAGCAAGGACAAGAGGCTCTAGATGGAGGGCCGGTAAGGACCTTAGAGGGAGTGGGAAGACTGGAGCTGCGTGTCCAGGGCCTGAGTCTTGGTAGATGATAACTGCCAGCATTTCTGGAACCTCCCCTCTGCCATCTGTGGCCATGGCCTCCTTGGTCCAGAATAACAAAAAGAATACACACTGGGTTGGTTTGCACATCTTAGGCAACTTAATAGTCATCGTCAGAGTGGATGATATGACGTCTTGAGTCCCACTCCAAAGGAGGATATTTCTCTTAAAGTCTGTACAGACTAGGACTTTTTTTTTTAGTTTTCTCTCAAATCCATTGGCCTCCCCCTTCTCCTTGTTCACTAAACAGGGCCCCATCGAGAGCAGCAGAGTAACAGCTGTTGGTGATTGTCATGGTTCAGGCTGCAAAACAAAGCACCTCAGCTGGGGTGGCTTATCACTGGAGTTTAATTCTCACAGCATGGAGACTGGGAGTCCAAGACCAGGGTGCCAGAGTGGTTGAGTTTGGTGAGGCTCCTCTTCCAAGTTGCACGTTGCCACCTTCTCATGTCCTCATGTGGCCCGAAGTAGACAGAAGCTAAATCTCTCTTTATCTCTTCTCATAGGGACATGGATGGCATCATGGGAGCCCCCACCCTTATGACCTCAGCTAATCCTAATCACCTCCCAAAGGCCCCACCTCCTAACACCACCATCACTTGAGGGGTTAGGGTTTCAACACAGGACACAAACATTTAACCCATAACAGTGGTCTTTCTTAGGGCCCTTCGCTGACCACCTCCCAGCTGAAAGTTACCAGGTGCTTCCAACATGTCAGGACATCCATGTCCTCCCCACAGGCAGTATCCACCCTGCAAAGTCAAGCGATCCCCCATGGAGATCCGTGCAAGGGGAAGGGGCTGATCTGAACAGATTGTTGTATAATAACCCTATTATTGGAGGGTCTGCAGTGCCAGACAGAGTCCTGTGGAAATGAAGACCATGTGTATCAACTGTATCTGAGAGCAAAGATGTGATGGAGAGAAGCTGAATGTCACAAAAACAAGTGTATCTTCCCCACTCTAGGTCACCATTGCAAGTCTGTGCTGCTGCTTAGAAAGAGCAAAGTAATTCCCAGACTGAGTGTGGCTTCTAAGAGCTCTTTGGATGCCTGGGGCCGCTTCTCTTCTGGGCTGGACCCGCCTGACCCAGACTCCTGTCTTTTTGATTGCTGCAGGTCATGAGCTTCTCCTAACATTCATCCTTTTACTTCTGAAACCCAACCTTGGCCAAGAGAGTACCCACTGTGGTTCAAATGCTCTGTACGTATCTGAGAACTCAGGACACGCGGGAGAGGATAAGCCCAGCTCTCCTTGCCCCCCCCACCCCCGTGTCTTTCCAGCTGCCGTCCACAGCACACTGGGAGCTTGTGGAATCAATTTTTTAGTAGTTCATGAGCAGCATTTTAACAAGGGAAGTAGAATAGAGTAGAAAATATCAACATTCTTTGCAGGTAAGACTAAAGCTTGTTTCAGTTGCATCAATTTACATGGGTTGTGATGTAAAATGTATTTCTTACATAATCAAAAAGTTTGAATATTTTAGCCAAAAAAAATTTGTTTTAATGAATATTCACCCAAAACCTGGCTCAGCCATATGAATATTAGCAAAGCTGTGTGGCCCCTCAGCCTGCAAGCCATTTGACTTCCTGATGAACCCACCTCAGTATTCGAGTTACGAATAAGCAGAGTCTGCTTATTAGTTTGTTAGTTTCAAACAAGTGGTATATTGGAGAAGGTTAACCAGAAATGATAGCCTGAGTTTCACCTTTAGTTGGTCCTAAGCCATTGCTTCTTTCCATTCCCATTTTTTGGTGATTATCAAAACTGTATATATTCATTGTACTAAATTTATGCAGTACCAGAAAGGGAAAAAGAACTTACAAAGGAATCACAGTCTGGCCACCCAGAGGCCAATGCTGTTGGTATTTGGGAAGATCACTCTGCAGTGTTTTGTGCTGAGTATTTTTCTTTATGTGGCTGAGATAAATTTAAATCTATAATTTTATATTCTACTTACTGCATTTAATATATGCAGTTACCCATGTCATTAAGAACTCTTTTTTAATATAATAAAATAAATTTGCTAGAATGTACTAAAATTATTTTTCTTTAATCCCTACTTGTTGAATATGTAGATATTCAAACTTTATATAGATAGTGCTGCAGTGGGTAACTTCATGTATGAGCCTTTCTAATTATCTCCTCAGAATAGATATCTAAAAAAAAAAGTGAAATTATGGAGTCAAATAGTCTAAACAGTGGTATATGGTACTTCATCCTGAAATACCTTCCAGAAAGAGCTAGTAAACATCTGCACCAGCTATAGATATAAGTTCCAGGGGCACCCTTGTCAGCACTGGGTACTATCCATTTGCTTTTTAATTTTTATTAATTTGATAGGCCAAGAAGTATGCCTTGTGTTAATTTGCATTTCTTTAACTACTAGATAGACTGAATCTTTTTTTTTTCTACTTTTAATGGCCATTTGCTTTTTTCTTTGAGCATTATCTGGATGGTCCTTTGAAGCCTGGGGTCTTAAAGGGCAATTATCATTACCATCTTCAGTCAGCTGTGGATGCAGGGAGTGATTACGGCTTTCATCATCTACGGCTCACTCCTGAGGTTAGGGGCGCGCTGGAACCCTGTCTCACCCTGACCTCATTTCTCAAGCAATTAAGGCTAAGGTGGTCTAATAATGGCGTGGCTGTCATCCCCTCTATTTATTTTTTAGCCCTCTGCAGTTTGCACAGTTTCACCTCTGTTCATTATCTCAGGTTGAGCCGCATCACAGCACCAGCATGCAATGCCTTCCCCCTGTTACAGACAGAGAAACTCAGCAGCATGGGGTCACGCCTGACACAGAGTGAGTGGTGGAGTAGGGATTCGGGGTCCTCTGGCCCCACCTCTGATGTTCTGACCTTTGCCCCATGGCCGTTAGGTGTGTGTTGATGGAGTCCTGAAGGCACTTTCCCAGGTGTCTGGGATGGATTCTGTGAAGGGAGACTCTTCCTGCCCTTCGGGGTAGCCAGGAGCCTCATCAGCAGTAGAGGTCCCTGCTTGGGGATCTGGAAAGGGCAGTCCATGAAATGAAAGAAGAGGAAGGTTAAAGTCTAGTCATGTTTGGTAGAGGTTTTTTTTTTTTCCCTCCCTACTCTTGGCAGGGAATAGTTTTCCAGAGATTATTCACTTTTAATTTGCTTTATTTTTAAAAAAACGTATTGAAGGATACTTGCTTTACAACATTGTGCTGGCTTCTGCCACACATCATCATGAATCAGCCACAGGCATACACGTGTCCCCTCAGTCTTGGACCTCCCTCCCATCTCCCACCCCATCCCACCCCTCCAGGTCGTCACAGAACACTGGGCTGGGCTCCTGTGTCACACAGCCAACTCCCTGGCTGGCCGTTTCACTTTAGATTGTGACCACATTTATTTGTGGGTTTAAAAAGATTTTTGTAATTTACACTACTGCCCTCTGAGGTCAGGAAATGCCAGCCTCCTGCTACCCACCCACACAGCCCAATGGCAGCAGCACCCTTTGAGTTACAATTATCATCTTCATTTTATAGAAATTAAGTCGCAGAGAGATGAAGTACCTAGCTCAAGGTAACCCAGCTTGTAAATGGGAGGGGTTGGGATTTGAACCCAGGCTGTTTGATTCCAGTCTCTGTTATTAACTCTGTATCACTGCCTCTCAGTTTCATATTCAGTGAAGATGTTCTTTGGACTTAAAGAGATGTCCACATCCCCCCTCTTTTCCCATCTTAAAATGTGTGGGTAAAGGGTGGCAACTAGGAGGGGAGTCTGCAAGGATGGGGTTAGAAGTGAATCACTATGGAGACAGACCTGTCATCTTTTGGACAAGGGGGAGTCACGGCAGTTCAGACTCTGAGTCTGTATCAGAAAGTTCGGCTCCTGGAAAATTCCCTGGAAATATGACGGCTGGAAATATGCACAGAGCAGGGCCAGGTAGGAGGTGTCCGTTCTGGGCCAAATGACCCGGGATAAGTCATGTCTGCTCTCTGGGTTCTGCTGCCCATCCTCCTCTGGGAGGTTGGACCTCTGCATCTTGGGGGGCTCTCCAGCCCTGGCATGCTGTTTGTGGGTGCTGACTCAATGTTTTTATTAAACCCAGTGCTCTTTCAATTAGGTAATTTGTCTTCCCCAAGACACCCATGGGTTTTTCAAGTGTGAGTTAAATGTTAACAGCACTGTGTCAACTGAATTAATGGTTAAGAGATTTAACAAGAGTTTCTGTGTCTGTTTTCAATTTCCTCCACAGGGACGCGAGAGGCAGATTTTACAGGAAACCATTCACAGTTTCCACTCTTCCTTCGAGAGCAGCGCCAGCAACACCAGGGCCCCTGGAAACAATCCTTGTACGTGACCCTCTTCCTCGTGGTCAGCAGCGTGAGCTTTCTGAACCTCAGTATCCTCTTCACGTGGCCGATGCTCCCGACATCATCAGACCTTCCCCATTCCCTGAAACACACTATGCCTTGACACACCACTGTGCCTTAGTCCCCATGCCTGAAACACCCATTTTCCCCCGCCTGCTGTAGCAGTTGGTGATGCTTGTTGCTGTAACAAAAGTCCGACACGGTGGAGACTTATTCTCCCATGAAGTCCAGTGTGGCTGCTTCTGCTTGGCAGAAGCACATGGTGATTCAGGGACCCTGCTCTTCTCATCTGTGTCTCTGCCGTTCCTGGGAGCTTCCGAGTCTTTGTTTCTGGCTGGCAGAGGGGAAAGGGATGGTGAAGAAGGCATAACCATTTCTTAGCTGTCTTGCTGTTAACTGCTCACATTCCATTGGTTCCTCCGTCTTATGTCCCATCGGCCACTCATAGTCACGTGGCCCCACCTGGATGCAGAGGAGACTGGGAAGTGTAGTCATGTCCAGGTAGTGGCCTCCCAGTACAGAACTCTGTACTTTGATGCGGGAACACATATTTGGGGCAAGATTCGCCACTCTTCCATAGCTTCCCTTAGGCCTTCTAACTTATCCCTGATGGTCCCTAATGTCGCCAATCGAATGAAGCCTTTCCCAGCTGCGTTACACAGATCTCACTCCTCCAGCCACTGGGGCCCCTCACTGTTCTGTGTGGTGCCTCTGCTTTAGCATGTCTCTGCACCTGCTGCAGGCAACACAGCAGCTGCTCAGGATGTGTATGCTGAATGCATTTTTCTTTCTTGCAGAGGCAGCCTTTTATAGAGGAAAAAGGGGGAGGCCCAAGGTGTCACTTTGAGGAGTCTCTTTTCCTTCCTGACCTTCAGTCTCCTTGTCTGTGGTCAGGCAAGACAACGCTCTGATATTCCACGCTGCTCACCCCATAACACTGTAGGGCTTTTCCACTTTGAGTGGGAGCAGAAAATTGTTATATATGACATTGTAGAAGGACTTAGGTGCTCACATTTTCTAGGCGAATTTGGAATTTTTCCTCAGGCCACATTCCTCAGGAGGGAATCAGCTCGTGTAGTATTATACTGTGTCATATTCTGGGAAAGGGACTTTGACTTTTAGGTCCAACAGGTTTCTGAAATGTTTTCAAGCATTTAATTCATTCGACCATCGCTTGCGGCATTTCTGCCATGTGCTGGGGATGCAGAGATGAGTCAGATCCAGTCCCCACCCTTGAGGACCCGGACAGCAAGAGAAGATGTGAATGGATGGTCCTCTCCTGAGGGGGAGCATGGACAAGTGGAGAGAGCATGTGCTCTGGACTCAGGCTCAGGGTTCTGGCCCAGCCCTGCGGCTGGCCAGCTGTGTGGCCAGGGTCAGGTAACTTGGCTTCTCTGTTGGTGCTTAGAGCCAGCGTGCATCAAGTGCCTGATCTGTGGGACATGCACAGTGGATGGGAGCCTTTGCAGCGTCGTCACCTTTGCTGCGATCTCCACTTGGCTGCATACTGGTCTCCTTAGGAGGTACAGCTTCTCATCTCCCCCTCTCCTGGCCGTGAGCGCCCCTTCCTCCTCTGCTGGCTGCTAGAGGCAGTCATGATCGTGCTTCCCGGAGTCTCATCATGTTCCCCCTCCCATCGGTGGATCCAGCAGGTGCTATTCCTCCTTCGTCCTCTCATCCTCCCCGCTGTAGAAGCCAACTTCCTACGTGACTGGAGAAAGAGGTTTTGTTTTAGACATCACTGACAGATGCCTTGACACATGTTCCTCGCATCCCAGCCTTCTCTAAGGAGACACACTCACTGAGCACCTATTTTGTATGGCCACTGACACCAGCGTCATCTATCCTCACCCCCAGCCTGGGGGCCGCCATGGTTTAACCTCATCCTGCATGCTGGGGACACAGACACGGAAGAGCGGAGCTGCAGGCCAGTTCCTCAGCTGGGAAGGAGCGGAGCTGGCTAAGACCTGGGTCTAGTGGGCTTCTGAGCCCATGCTTTTGCCGACTCTTACAGACTCCTGCGGCTCGAGGCACCAGGGGTTCTCATGGTTTTAATGTATTCATATCTTCAGAGCCTATCAGTATGTGTAGGGTTGTTTGTCCCTAAAATTCACATGGACCCCTGAGTTAGGTGCTGTGAGGTTTGGTGTCTGTTCTTTGCGCTTCTCCTGCCCTTTTCATCCTGTATCTGCACAGCTGTCACTTGGGTAAGTTTGATGGAATCTGTGTGACATGCAGGAGCTGTGCTGGGGGTCAGCTTTCCACAAATGTGCACCTCCAAGATCTCGTCTAGTGACCTCAGACGGATAGTCTGCTCATTCTCATTTGGCAGATGGGAAAACAGGCTCACAGCAGCTGCTTCCTTTGTCTTTTTCACTGGACTCAGTCTTTTTCTCCCAAGAAGTTTGTGGGCTGGTTGGTGAGAGATCCTTGGCACCCTTTCTGGACCATGGTCACCCACTTCCTGGTGGCTCTATGAGGTGATCAGCATCAGCATTGCCCAAAGTATGTTCCTTGAAACCCTACTTCCATAGAATGTTAACAGGTGTTTTTATAAAAAATAAAGGAGGAGGGAATTTACATGTGACAGTGGGAGTGAGGCTCTGTGTTTTAACAGGTTTGGCAGATAACAAAACCCAGTCATGTAATGTTTGCTGTATACACCTCAGAATCCTTAAAGCTCCACACGCGGGGGAATCTCTTCAAGGGGGCCATACTATCATTGTTGTTCAGTAGCTCAGTCGTGTCCAACTTTTTGCCACCCAGGCTGCAGCACACCAGGCTTCCCTGTCCTTCACTATCTGCTGGAGTTTGCTCAAACTCATGTCCATTGAGTCGATATGACTGGTAGCATTTCCCACATGTTTGATCACAGAATGCTGCTTCGTAGCACTCTTTCAAGACGGGTTCCTTGAACACTGTCAGGGAAACCCTGCTGTGACCGGGCAGCTGCAGTCATGAGGCCTCACAGCAGCTGGGGGTGGGCCCAGGGAGCACTCAAGGTCTTTAGCTGGGTCAGCGTATTTGGTAAACCGCCTCTTCCCAGCAGCTCTCTGCTTGGCAGTGGGACATCATGGTGAGGGCATCATCTGATGGAGAGGATCTGAGCAGGATCCTGCGCAGAGGGCTCTGCATCCAGGGTGTCTCCTGCAGGGTCAGAGCAGCATTTCCCAGTGCTGGTACGGTGTCCTGTCTGGCAAATGCTGCGTGTCTGAGCCCTGTCCCCAGTGGCCAGGAGAAGGCTCCCACCTCCTTGCTTCAGCACTAGACCATCACATGGAGGCCGCAAGTTTTGCAAGAAGACATTTGCTTTTTCACTCACCGTGCATTTACTGAGCATTTACCCTGTGTGCATCCTCTGCTTGTGCTTTGGATTCAGAGATGAAAAACACTCACCTCTGCTCTCAAAGAATCCACAGTATCGTAGAGGAGGCAAGCACGTAAGTGCCCGTGAGGAACAGTAAAGGTGTGTGCTCGACTGAGGGCATCATGGGTGACAGCTCAGGCTGGCTCGGATGCACCCTGTTGGAAAGACTGGGTCCAAAAGGGGGAGTCAGCACAGCTGGTACGTGGGGAAGACAGAGTGCTTCCCAGTTGGGACAGTGTGTGTGAAGGCAGGCAGAGTATGACATTTGTGGGTTAAACACTGGGGGTATGTTAGATATCTGTTGCTCCAATTTTTGGTTCTTTTCTTTGAAACGCATAGCACTGAATCTATAGCCAGACCTAGCACCGGGTTCTGGCTCAGCCGCGTCTTAATGGGTGCTGTGTTTCTTCCCCTCCTCGAGTCTCGGTTTCCCTTTTGGTTCCCAGGGGGGCGGTGTTCTGAGGGTCAGATGAAGGGGAAGACCGTCTTCACACTATATGGAGCTCGGCAGATGTGAGAACTCTCCACGGTGGTTGCCGACTTGAAATCTCTCTGCCTGTCTCCCTCTGCCTGCTCCTGCTTGCCCTGATGCCGTCGGGCCAGGTGGGTGAGGCCAGAAGCTGCAGCCTCCAGCCGAGATAGCTGCAGCCTGGGCGGTTCTGCTGCCCTTGGAGCCCTGAGGCAGTGAGGGCTGGTGGCGGATCCCGCCCTCCAGCTGTGGCTGACTGGTGTTTATGTCCCTGGGATTCTCACCAAGGTGGGCAGAAGGCAGCAGGAGGGCCTTCCAGCCTGATCACAGGAGCCGATCCAGGGCAAAAGGGAAGCAGGAAACTCCTCCAGTTTGTCCTTGCCTCAGAGCTGCCTATGGACACTGCCAAGCAGGCCAGGCCTGGGCTACACAGTTGTGGACATCTACACTGACCTTCCAAGAAAGCACGTCTTGAGAGCTTGGGACCCTTCCTAGGAAGATTCTGCTGCCCATACTGAAGGTGTTGTAAAACACCACCTGTACTTTTTTCAGCAAAATAATCGTATCTCGACCGACAGATCCTAGTCAGCATATAAAGAGACCCGATTCTTTCCCTGTTGAAGTTGATACCAAATTCTGTAGGACCAGCCAGGGACTGAATCTCCTCCCTAGGGGAGGTGGGTGGTGAGTCCCCTTCTCAGCTTCCTTCCTAAGGCAGGGACCACCCAGGGCCCCTCCTCAGGGTCCTTCCTGCCCAGTGGGTTGAGCCAACTCCCTTCCGTGTAAGGTCCCTCCCAGTTCCCATTGGAACTGCCTCCCGGGGGCTCACAGACACAGGGCATGGCCATCCTCTTTTGGGAGACCTTGTTCCCACTGTCCAGGTGTCTGGGACAGGGCTTGACCTCAGCACAGCCACTGGATCCTATGATAAGAGACCCAAGTGCTGTTTTGTTTCGGCCCTGCTGTGTGTCCCCATGTTCCTTACTGTCAAACACTTCTTTCTATCAGTGTTTTTCCATACAGGGACTTGATTCTTTGAAGGATTTTTGTTTGCTGAATGTATGTTAAATAATGTCTTCTCACTTTGATTTTGCTCATAGAAGGTATAAAATGCTTCTCAGATTTCTTCCAGTGAGAATTGTTATGGAGCAAGTGCCTATGGTGTGCTGGGCACTTCTGTAGCCTCACCTTCATGATAATCTCATGAGTCTGCCTTAAAATCCCTTTTCCACCAATTTGGTGAGTGTGGCACACATAACCACACCAGGGTCACCCTGTAATGGGGGAAGATTGATTTGAGTGCAGGCCTCAGCTCTGAATTCTCCCCATGCTATCTTGCTGACTTGCCACACAGAAATGTTGAACCAAGCCAACCATAAAACAAAGCTTTGTTAGTCTTTATAGCTTGTTCACAACTTTGTGTGTGTGGGGGGGAGGAGAGGTGTTTATGAAATACTATAATACTATACACACATACACACACACACCCATACAGCTTGGAGATTCTCTCTGTTTCTGCTAAGAATCTTGACAAATTGGAGGACTCCCTCATCTCCACCTTTTCTGCTGTCAGTGTCTCAGGCTGGCTGTGTTCAGCCATATAGAGCATTTGGGAAACAGAAAGTCACATAGGTCCCAGTCCCAAAACAAGTGAAATGAGGCCAATGTCTGAGACCCCCAGTTCAGTTCTGTCCAGTCGCTCAGTCGTGTCCGACTCTTTGTGACCCTATGAACCACAGCACGCCAGCCCTCCCTGTCCATCACCAAACTCCTGGAGTCCACCCAAACCCATGTCCATTGAGTCGGTGATGCCATCCAACCATCTCATCCTCTGTTGTCCCCTTCTCCTCCTGCCCGCCCTCAATCTTTCCCAGCATCAGGGTCTTTTCAGATGAGTCAGCTCTTCGCATCAGGTGGCCAAAGTATTGGAGTCTCAGCTTTAACATCAGTCCTTCCAATGAACACCCAGGACTGATCTCCTTTAGGATGGAGTGGTTGGATCTCCTTGCAGTCCAAGAGTGGGGAGCAAAAACTGGGGAGACCTTGGGAGTAGGACCAACTGTCCATGAGAAAGAACATTCCAGGGACCAGAGCTACCTAGAAGGGAGAGCATCCCCCAGATGGGCCCCCAGAGGCTGCTCAAGCCCAGGGCAGCTGGAGAGGGAAACTCAGACTTTGGATGCAGATTGGACCAGGCAAGTGTCTGCCAAATGACCCAATGGTGGAGGTAATAGAAAAAAAGTACAAGGCAAAGAGTTTACCTGACTCGAAATATACTCATTTTATGAGGTTGGCCTTATTCCTGACATAAGTCTGTATTACTTTGAAGGGTGGGGGTGGTGGTAATGGTAGTTTTAGTTTTAAGGTGTGTGAAATCCAAAATCTGAGAAACATTGTTCTAGATCACTTTTGAGTTCTTTCCAGCCTCCTGAGTCTGTGAAAATCTATAAAAAGAAGGGGAAGTGGTTCCTCAATAAATATCAAACTTCCATATGACCCAGCAACTCTACTCCTACTCCAAACAATTGAAAATAGATATTCAAGCAAAAATTGGTATGCAAATATTCATAACAGCACAATTCACAACAGCCACAAGGTAGAAATAACCCAAATGGCCATCAATAGATGAATGGATAAACAAAAGTGGGATTAGCCACACAGTGCAATATTGTTCAGCCATAGAAGTAATGATCCACAGTACAATATGGATGAACTTTGAAAAAAGCCAAGAAAAGAAGGAGCCAGACACAAAAGACCACAGAGTATGTGATTTCCATTTATATGAAATGTATAGACTTGGTCAATCCATAGAAATGGAAAGCTGAGATTTGGGGGCTGAGGAAATGGGGAGCCACTGCTTAAAGTGTAGGCAATTTCCTTTTGGGGTCAGGATAAAGCCCTGGAACTAGGTAATGGTGATGGGTGTATCAATGGCCACTGAACTGTACACTTTAAAAAATGGTTAGAATGGTAAAACTTTACATATTTTTTTGCTGTAATTTTTAAAAAAGGAAGCAAAGGAGAGCTCATGAGCTGGCTGGCCTTCCACCCCTGTCAGGGTTCACCTCTTCCTTGCTCTTCAGTGTGAAGGACAGGTATCCACGGAGGGTCTTGCTCCCTCCCCGCTCCTCGTGTGTACACACGCCTTTCTGTCCCCTTCATCAGCGGTGTCCAGACGGGCCGACGGTCTCAAGCAGAGCCCGGCACGGAAAACACGCGGGGAGGAGCTGGGGCCGCCTGGTCCGGGCTCTGAGGGCAGCGACCCCCCGGGAAGGCGGGGCTGCCGCCTGCCCTCCAGCCTCTTCTCTTGGTCCCTTTTCCTATCTGCGCGTGCCTCGGGGCTTCCATGCTTCACTTGTCGGTAGTTCCTTCCACAGAATAATTGTCTCCACTTTGCTCACAATAAGAAACACTCCCTTTGAGTCACAGCGCCGGCCTGGACACTCACGCCGCCGACAGGCCCCAGCGCCCCGAGGCCCGCTTCCACCACCAGCCTCCGCGCGTCCGGTGACGAGGCCTGGTTCCGCGTCCCCTGCCCTGCCGAGGTGTCCACCGCCAGACGGTTGCCTGAGCGCGGCGCCGCAGGCCAGCGTGCCCTCGGGGTCCGCGCTTGCGGAGGCGGGCCTGGGAGCCGGGCTCGATGAGTGTGAGGCCGTGCGTGTGTGGAGAGGCGCCTGAGCTGTAACGAAGAACCTGGAACCGGAGACGGTACTCCAGAGTTCCTGCAGCTTCTGAAGGTTCGCTTCTCTGGTGAGGAGGTGTCCGGGGAAGCGAACTTCACTAACTCTTCAGAAGGGACAGTGGCCGAGAGCCTGAGTCACAGGGAGTCCTCGGGGGGAGTGTCTGTCAGGCCGCCTGAGGCGGCAGACGTGCCGCCTGTCGTGTGCATGATGGCCGCTTCCTCAGGTAAGCGACATCTGTGGGATTCTGTTGTTCTTTGCCGCACGACGCGGCAAGCGGGGTCTTAGATTCCTCACCCCCCCACCCCCACCCCACCGCCACCCCCCCGCACCCCACCCCCACCCCACAGCCACCCCCCCACCGCCACCCTACCCCACCCTACCCCCACCCCACCCCACCCCCATCCCCACCCCACCCCCCCACACCCCACCCCACCCCACCCCACCCCCATCCCCACCCCACCCCCCCACACCCCACCCCACCCCACCCCACCCCACCCCCATCCCCACCCCACCCCCCCACACCCCACCCCACCCCCATCTCCATCCCCACCCCCCCACACCCCACCGCCACCCCCACCGCCACCCCCACCCCATCCCCATCCCACCCCACCCCACCCCACCCCCACCCCCCCGCACCCCACCCTACCCCCACCCCACCCCCACCCCACCCCACTGCCACCCCCACCCCACCCCACCCCACCCCACAGCCACCCCCCCACCGCCACCCCCACCCCATCCCCATCCCACCCCACCCCCACCCCCACCCCCCGCACCCCACCCCCACCGCCACCCCCACCCCCCACACCCCACCCCACCGCCACCCCCACCGCCACCCCCACCCCATCCCCACCCCCCACACCCCACCCTACCCCCACCCCACCCCACCCCCACACCCCACCCCACCGCCACCCCCACCCCATCCCCATCCCACCCCACCCCCACCCCCCGCACCCCACCCCCACCGCCACCCCATCCCCATCCCACCCCACCCCACCCCCAACCCCGCACCCCACCCCCACCGCCACCCCATCCCCATCCCCATCCCACCCCACCCCCACCCCCCGCACCCCACCCCCACCGCCATCCCCACCCCCATCCCCACCCCCATCCCCATCCCCATCCCACCCCACCCCCACCCCATCCCCATCCCACCCCACCCCACCCCTACCCCCATCCCCATCCCACCCCACCCCACCCCCACCCCCCGCACCCCACCCCCACCGCGGGGAAAGCTGGGAGTCTTAACCCCTGGACACTCAGGCAAGTCTGCTGATGGGGCGCTGTCCTAGGCCCTGGGGATGTCCAGAGGGCAAATCAAAGTTTCTGCCTCGGAGCTTATGATCCGCCGGGGTGGTGGCAGTCCTGGCTCGCAAGGCGGGGCAAGGTTAACTTCGAGTCCAGTGCCCAGTACTGTGCTGGGCACCGGATAAGTGCCTGTGAGCCGCCAGCTGTTGTCGTCGCTCCTGTCCGGTCCCTGTTCCTGGAGGGTCCGGACCACACGAGCTCTTCCTCACTAGCTGCAGTGCCGGGAACGTTTGGGCTCCGCCGGAACCGCCGCTCAGCACAGCCACATTCGGGAACCCTGAGCGGGTCGCAGTCAGGAGCTCGATTATGGAGCTGCACCAGGGCCACGGATGCACTGTCCCAATGAACTGAAAGAGTGATTGGGGAACATTTGTTAATCGTGTAGCAAGGGGCTTCCCTGGTGGCTCAGTGGTAAAGAATCCCCCTACAATGCAGGAGACATGGGATCAATCCCTGGGTCAGGGAGATTCCCTAGAGAAAACGGCAACCTACTCCAGTATTCTTAGCGCTTCCCAGGTGGGCTAGCGGCAAAGAATCCACTGGCCAATGCAGGAGACACAAGAGACATGGCTTGGATCCCAGGGTGGGGAAGATCCCCTGGAGTAGGAAATGGCACCCCACTCCAATATTCTTGCCTGGAAAATTCCATGGGCAGAGGAGCCTGGCAGGCCCTGGTCCATGGGGTTGCAAGAGTCAGACACAGCTTGGTGACTAAACCACCATCGCCATTATTGAATAGCAGTGAATTTAACCCACAAAATTCAGTTTGCAACCTACAATCGTAAACAAAGAATTCGGAGCAAAGAAATAATTGGAGAAAAAAGCACACGATACAGACTGTATATTAATTTTTAAAATAATTTTGTTTATTCATATATATTGACTGTGCTTGGTCTTTGCTGGTGCCTGGGCTTTTCGCTCGCTGCTCAGAGCAGGGCTACTCAGTGTGGTGGCTTCTGCTGTCGCAGAGCACCGGCTCCACAGCACAGGTTCAATAGTTGGGGCGCGCAGGTTTAGTTGCTCAATGGCGTGTGGGATCTTCCCAGACCATGGATCAAGCTCATGGCTCCTGTATTCTTTAGATTCATGGAATGTCTCTTTCCACTTTGATCCACTTCACTTAGCATTCTTGGATCACATTGATTTTTTAAAATTTATTTTTTAATTGAAGGTTAATTGCTTTACAGAATTTTGTTGTTTTCTGTCAAACCACAACATGAATCAGCCATAGGTGATTTTTTTTTACTTAAAAGTTTTAGTTTTATTTTTAAACAATTGCACAAGTCGTTAGCAGTGAGTATATTTGGAGGTACTTGATATAACACACTGACTTTTTACATCTTATGTTGAGCCTCAAGATTAGATATATCTTTCTCAAGAGCCCTGTAGGGGTTCTAGGATGCACGAAGCCTGGGGCTGTGACCCATAAGGAGCCCTTCTCCTGATAGAAACTTCCCACCTGGAAAAACCCTCCAAATGGGCTCCTGCTGACACTTCCAGTGGGCTTTCCAAGTTTCTTGAATTTTCAGCTAAGTTTATAACTGGAGGCCTATGGGCATGGCACTCTGCTTTATTTGTTTGTTTATTTGAAGTATAGTTGGTTTACAATGTTGTGTTAGTTTCTGGTATACAGCCAAATGATTCAGTTATTCTTTTTCATATTCTTTTATTGGATATATTTCCCTGGGATATACAGTAGGACTTTGTTGTTTATCTATTTTATGTATAATAGTTTATATCTGCTAATCCCAAACTCCTAGTGTATCCCTCCTTCCCCTTTTCCTCTTTGATAACCATCAGTTTCTATGTCTGTGAGTCTGTTTCTGTTTTGTAGATAATTTCATTTGTATCATATTTTAGATTCCACATATCAGGGATATCACATGGTGTTTGTCTTTGCCTGATTTACTTCACTGAATGTGATCATCTCTAGGCCCATCCATCCATGTTGCTGCAAATGGCATGTTTCGTTCTTTTTTAATGACTGAGTAACATTCTACTGTATATGTATACACTATGTCTTCTTTAGCTATTCATCTGTTGGTGGGCATTCAGATTGCTTCCGTGTCTTACTATTATAAATAGTGCTGCTATGAACATAGGGGTGCATGTATCATTTTGAATTTGAGTTTTCATCTTTTCTGGATATGTGCCCAGAAGTGGGATTGCTCGGTCATATAGTAGCTCTATTTTTAATTTTTAAAGGAACTTCCATGCTGTTTTCCATAGTGGCTGTACCAACTTACATTCCCACCAACAGTGTAGGAGGGTTCCCTTTTTTCCTCACCTTCTCCATCATTTATTATTTGTAGACTTTTAATGATGGCCATTCTCGTCAGTGTGAGGTAATATGTCATTGTAGTTTTGATTTGCATAATTCTCAGTGTTGAGCATCTTTTCATGTGCCTATTGGCCATCTGTATGTCTTCTTTAGAGAAATGTCTATTTATTTCTTCTGCTCATTTTTTGATTGGGTTGTTTTCTTGTTTATCAGTTGTGTAAGTTATTTATGTATTTTGGAAATTAAGCCTTTGTTGGTCACATCATTTTCAAATATTTTTTCCCAGTCTGTAAATTGTCTTTTCATTTTGTTTATGGTTTCCTTTGCTGTGCAAAAGCTTATAAGTTTGATTAGTCCAATCTGTTTAGTTTTGCTTTTATTTCTATTGCCTTGGGTGACGGACCTAAGAAAACATTGCTATGATTTATGTCAAAGAATGTTTTGCCTATATTCTCTACTAGGAGTTTTATGGTGTCATATCTTATATTCAAGTCTTTAAGCCATTTTGAGTTTATTTTTATCTATGGTATGAGGGAGTATTCTGACTTCACTGGTTTATATGTGGCTGTCCAGCTTTCCCCCACCACTTGCTAAAGAGACTGTCTTTTTTCCATTGTATATTCTTACCTTCTTTGTCAAAGATTAATTGACTGTATGTGTGTGGGTCTATTTTTGGGCTCTCTGTTCTGTTCCATTTATCCGTTTGTTTGCTTTCCTGCCAGTACCACACTGTTTTGACTACTGTAGGTCTGTAGTATTGTCTGAAATTTGGGAGTGTTCTATCTCCAGCCGTGTTCTTTTTCCTCAAGATTGCTTTGGCAATTCTGGGTCTTTTATGGTTCCATATACGTTTTAGGATTGTCTGTTCCAGTTCTGTAAAAAATGTCATGGGTAATTTGATAGAGATCACATTAAATCTGTAGATTGCTTTGGATAGTAACATAATAATGGAAATGACAAGAAAGCATGAGGTAGCAACACTCACATAACAAAGTAGACTTTAAAACAAAGGCCATAAAGAAAGAGAAATAAGGACTGTATATAATGATAAAAGGATCTCTACAAGAAGAGGATATTACAGTCATTAGCATATGTATACCCAATATAGGAGTTCCTAAATACACAAATATGAACAGACATAAAGGGAGAAACTGATGGGAATACAATAATAGTGAGAGACTTAAACACATCACTGACATCAAAGGACAAATCTTCCAGACAGAAAATCAATAAGGCAACAGATTCTAAGTGATGCAATAGAATAGTTAGACTTAACTGATATTTTCAGGACATTGCATCCATAAAAACCAGAGCACAGATTCTTTTCAAGTGCATATGGAACATTCTCTAGGATAAGCCACATTATAGGATACAAAACAAGCTTCAGCAAATTTAGGGGGATAGAAATTATTTCAGGGATATTTTCTGACCACAACAGCATGAAATTAGAAAGCAACCACAGAAAGAGAAAAAAAATGGTTACATGGAAACTAAACAACATGCTACTAAAAAAATCAGTGAAGTCAGAGTGGAAATTTAAAAATACCTTGAGACAAATAACAATGAAAACTTAGTCCTGCATAATCTGTGGGATGTAACAAAAACAGTGCTAAGAGGGAAGTTCACAGTGATACAGGCCTTCCTCAAAAAACAAGAAAAATCTCAAATAAACAACCTAACCTACCACCTGAAAGAATTTGAAAAAGAAGAACAAAAGAAACTTAAAGTCAGTAGAAGGAAGGAAATAATAAAGATCAGAGAGGAAATAAACAAAATAGAGATTAAAAAATTAATAAAACCAAGAGTTGTTTTTTTTTTAAACGGTAAACAAAATCAACAAACCTTTGGCCAGTCTCGCCAAGAAACTGAGAGAAGACCCAAATAAACAAAATAAGAAATAATAGAGGGGAAATCACAACCAATACTGCAGAAATACAAAAATCCCTAAGAGAATACTATAAATAATTATATGCCAACAAATTGGGCAACCTAGAAGGAATGGACAAGTTTCTGAAAACATACAGCCCACCAAAACTTGATCAAGAAGGAATGGATAATTTGAACAGACCGATCACTAAAAGTAAAATTGAATCTGTAAACAAAAGTCCAGGACCAGACAGCTTCACTGAGTGCTATGCATTACTGATTGTTAATAATACTTGCATGGTGGTTTCCTCACTATGGCTTTGGTTCTCAAAGCATGGTCCATGGACCAGGAGCTTTGGCATCCCCTGAGCGCTTGTAAGAAATGCCTTCCTGAGCCAACATCTGCATCTTCACAAGGTCCCCAGAGGATCCATATACATGCTGCAGTTTGAGAGAGTGTCCCTCCAGGGCACCTTCTGTGCACTAATCTCATCACAGGTGATTTCCATATGAGCACTGTGATGCTGTCACCTCTTACAGAGGAGGAAGCAGGAACCAGCAAACAAAATGACCCACCCAAGGTCACAACATGGTTCAAATAGAACTGAGACTCACCCAGGTTTCTCAGCAAACATTTACTGTGGTTTTGTTGTTGTTTAGTTGCTGAGTTCTATCTGACTCTTTGCAACCCCAGCCAGACTTCTCTGTCCATGAGACTTCTCAAGCAAGAATACTGGAGTGGATTGCCATTTCCTTTTCCAGGAGATCTTCCTGACTCAGGGATCAAACCAGTATCTCCTGCATTGATAGGCAGGTTTACCACTGAGCCACCTGGGAAGCCCTACTGTGGTTTTGCTAATTCAACCCTTCCGTCCGTCTAGAAGGACCACTATTACTACCCATTTTACAGATGAGGAAAGTGAGGTACAGAGAAGTTAAATAACTTTCCTAAGGATGTCACACCTTGATCTAGATCCCTATATGTATGGAATTGACCACAGGAATCCTAAGTGAGTAGGTGGTCTGATGGGTGGGGCACACTGGCACGGTGGGCCCCACATGCGGTACAGAGTCATAAAACCTGGGTTTGAGTCCTGCTGACACCACTGATGGCTGAGAGGGCAGATCGCCTCATCTCTGAGTCTTTGGTTTTCCCATCTGTGAAATGGAGGAAATAGCAAGTGCTATCTGGCAAGGCTGTGGTGAGGAGTAAATCAAGTAATAAATTCTGGGGTGCGTTGTAAGCTGTAAAGTCCCAAGCACAAGCTGCTAGTTAGTGGCTTTATTCTCCGGGGACCCTGGCACAATGGTGGAAGGGGAAGAAGCTCAGAGAATGGAGAAGTTGCAGTAGGTGGAACTTGGAGGTTGTCATGGGAACCAAAGCTCTGAGGCTGATCAAGGCAGGAAATACCATCTGGCTTTAAACACACCAAAAAGCCTCAACTCACACTGGACTTAGTTCTATAAACAGCAGAATTAACATCATCTTATAGCAGCAGCGTCAGCCAGAGCAATCTGGAGATTGTCTTTTCCTTGATTTCCCCGGTTAGGTCTGGACAAGGCACCTCAGGAGCTCCTTGTGCATCAGCTGTCACTTCCTGAGAAAAGTGGACAAGTCACTGAGTAAATCTGATTTTAAATGGAGATACAACATAGCTGGGAGACACCCTCTCACCTCCGCCCAGGCTTTGCAAGTACAGAGGGAAGGCAGGAGGTGGTGTCCAGGGATAATAGGAAGAGACTTGGGACTCCAGTCAGAGCTGATGCTGGAAGGGCGTTTAGAGAGCCTCTTGTTTTCATTCCTCCAAATTATTGGTAATGAATCAGGCCTGGAATGGGATGGTGTTTGCCCAAGGTCGCAAAGAACATCAATGACAAAACTGAAACTTGCACCTAAATCTCTCAATTCTTTAATCACTGTTTTTCCACTTTGCCAGTTGCATCTTCCTTTGATATTTGTTCCAGCATCATAGTGCTACTCCCTGGGAAACATTAGGCTTGGGATTTCTCTGGTTCCCCACAGACTCTCTGAGATGAGGAGCAGAATGTTTCTTGTGTCCTACACCTCCCAGAGATTTGACGCAGGGAGCCATCATTTCTTTGTTATTTTTCTTGTAAGAAACAAGAGCCCAAATGAATCAAGATAAAATTTTAAAAACAAGAAGCTATATGCCTTTGAGTTTTCAAAATCTTTAGGAATATCCTGGTTTCATTGCAGCCCCCATCCAGCAAAAAAACAAAAGAAAAGAAAATCTCCTGTGGTTGAGGACTTCTTCTTGGGGGCTGCTAGGAATCATTTGAGCAGAGAACACTCCTGGGAATGCAGGCCCAGCGTGGTTGCTGCCAGCTGGCTTGCCCTCTCTGAGCCTGTTTCTCCCATGTGTACCATAAGGCAGGTTTGATGTGACTTTTCATCTCTGACATTCTGTGACTTGATAGCTATTTTCTAAGAAAGGAAAGGAGATCCCATATTCCTAAAGCTCTTTCACCCTGATGCCTTGTTTATCAGCTGCCCGGCATCTGAGTTGAGAGACATCAGCACTGGCACTTCAGCTCCTTTCTGGCTAGGTCCTGGGGATTTTCTGTGAATAAGCTTTGGAGGGAGACACTCTGTACAGTGTGAAGGGAAAGAGGCTGCTGTTCTCGATCAAGGCTCTGGGACCTGTAGCCGCAGCTTGCAGGTGACACCAAGGGTACCAGTGTCAGAGCACATGCCCGTGCTTACGTTTACCCCCAACTCACCCCACCACGCCCTCAGCCACCCAGGCCCTGCCCTCAGATTTCTTGATCCTGTGTCCCACCATGGAGTTGTGGGCAGCTTCATCTCCTAGGAGTGGAGTTTGGGAAGCCTGGCTCCTGGGGGATGCTTCTGGCCATTTCTGAGTTCTGTTGTGTACACTGGAAGCTGCATCTCCTGGGGTTCATACTCGCTTTCTGCCCCTTGGGGTAGGTGAGTCCTCCCATCTTTTTTCCACTTAATTGGAGCCATAGGAACCACTTCATAACTATCTCAAGGGAGCCCCCAAGCCTTGGCAGCTGGGTTTGGGGATCCCTGGGGCTGCCAGGGCTGCTAGAGTGCCCAAGCTGCAGAGGATAGGTCTGGACAGCACCATCTGCAATTTGTTTCCATCCTGGTTCCCAAGACAGGAGAATGGGAACTATAGCTCCTTCACATTTCCCAGGAGTTAGTGGTTCAGTCTGAAAGAACTGGATAAATATCTAATAGAAGAGCTAGTCTTCACACCAAATAGCTCAATGTTTCCAGTCCACCCAGGAGCAGAGCAATCCTAGCTGCTTGATCCTTGAGAACTGAATCTCTCGGAAACTCTGAATCTCTCAGTGTTTCCAGCTGTAAAATGGAAATAGTAAATTTCCTGTGGTGATTGTGAGAATTAAAGAGGAAAGAATAACTCCAGTGTCTGGGTGCTTTAAAAAACTATAAAAGTTGCAAAGCATTTCTACTTCTATTCTCTGATTGACGTGTCTTAGAAAGAGATACACAGCACATCTCGTTTTCCAGGTCAGGTAAAACCGCAGCTCAAAGAAGTATGGTACTTGTGAAAAATCACAAACTAGCTGCTTGTTAGACGGGGGTCTGTGGAACATCTAAGTCCAAAGCCCTTTTTGTCTCACCACAACTGTGAAATATATCACTTTCTAAACCCTTTGAAGGAATTATGGAAATGAAAATAAACTTGGGAGAGGTATATTTCATCGAGACATGACACCTGAGGAAAGTGAGAACTGAGAAATGCAAACTTACAGCTTTTATTCACTCCCTTTTCTTTCCATTTCCTGAGAGGGACCTGATTTGGAAACCCATTTTGTTCCATGCATCTTTCTTCATATTCTGCCTTGCTATTTCCGACTTTGGCGTTGTTCGTGAAGATGATGTCTAGTATGTTCTCTGGAAAGTTAACACCCCAGAAAACAAAGCCTTCTTTACTGGGGAACACTCAGCCTGGAGAACAGAGCAGAGACTCTCCCTGAGGCAATAGCTCAAAATGGGGCCATGCAGGTAATCTGGAGAAAAGACCAATTTTCTTCCTCTCTCTCTCTCTGCAGTTGTAGGTTTATAGAATTGCAGTATAGGAAACCAAAGGGACATCACCTGCCCAGGGTCAAAGACCTGGTGTGTGGGGAGAAATTTTTAATAAGATGCAAAAAGCAAAGAGCCCTAATTCAAAAAAATACATGTGCCCCAATGTTCATAGCATCATTATTTACAATAGCTAAGGCATGGAAGCAACATTAAAAAATGCTCATCAACAGATGAATTGATAAAGGAGATCCGGTATGTATATATAATGGAATACTACCCAGTCATAAAAAGAATGAAGTTTTGCCATTTGCAACAACACGGATGGACATGGAAGGTATTATGATAAGTGAAATAAGTCACACAGAGAAAGATAACACTGTATGATATCAATTATATATATCACTTATATGTGGACTCTAAAAAGTAAAAAGAAACTAGTGAATATAACAAAAATGAAACAGACTCACAGATGTAGAAAAGAAAGTAGTGGTTACCTGGGGAGAAGGAAGGGGAGGCAAGCTCGGGATAGAGGATTAAGATGTACAAACTTGCATAAAATAAATAAACTACAAGGACATGTTGTACAACACAGGTAATATAGCCAATGTTTTATAATAACTATAAATGGAATATGACCTTTAAAAATTGTGAATCACTATGTTCTACACCCAAAACATACATATTATTGTGCATCAGCTATACCTCAATAAAAAGGGAGAATCAAAAAATAATAGATTTGACTACATGAAAAATTTCTTTTTAAATGAAGACCGCAAAGTTAACAGAGAGAAGATATTTGTCATATTTAAATCTGACGGGATTTACGAGAAATATTTGTAAACCAAGAAAAAGCAGTTTCAGAGAGGTAGAATCTTGAATGGTTGACAGATATATGAAGAGATGCTCTGCCTCACCAGAGACTGAGAGAAATGCAAATTACAATAGCAAGATTCCATTTTCTTCTCAGCAATTTAAAAAATTAGAAAGGTGAGTAATGCTTAGTGTTGGCAAGCATGTGGGCTGTGTGAGACTGACACAGCCATCAAGAGATGTTCTGACAGGTTTTAGAGATGCTGGGTCTGTAGTTTATTTAACTTATATGCAGATTACATCATGCGAAATGCCAGGCTGGAGGAAGCACAAGCTGGAGAGTCAAGATTGCTCAGAGAAATATCAATAACCTCAGATACGCAGATGATACCACCCTTATGGCAGAAAGCAAAGAAGAACTAAAGAGCCTCTTGATGAAAGTGAAAGACGAGAGTGAAAAAGTTGGCCTAAAACTCAACATTCAGAAAACAAAGGTCATGGCATCCAGTCCCATCACTTCATGGCAAATAGATGGGGAAACAGTGGCAGACTTTATTTTTGGGGGCTCCAGAATCACTGCAGATGGTGATTGCAGCCATGAAATTAAAAGGCGCTTGCTCCTTATAAAGCAGAGACATTACTTTACCAACAAAGGTCCATCTAGTCAAAGCTATGGTTTTTCCAGTAGTCATGTATGGATGTGAGAGTTGGACTATAAAAAAAGCTGAGCACCGAAGAATTGATGCTTTTGAACTGTGGTGTTGGAGAAGACTCCTGAGAGTCCCTTTGGACTGCAAGGAGATCCAATCAGTCCATCCTAAAGGAGATCAGTCCTGAATATTCATTGGAAGGACTGATGCTGAAGCTGAAACTCCAATACTTTGGCCACCTGATGTGAAGAACCGAATCATTGGAAAAGACCCTGATGCGGGGAAAGATTGAAGGCAGGAGGAGAAGGGGACGACAGAGGATGAGATGGTTGGATGGCATCACCGATGTGATGGACATGAGTTTGAGTAGGCTCCGGGAGCTGGTGATGGACAGGGAGGCCTGGCGTGCTATAGTCCATGGGGTCACAAAGAGTCGGGCAAGACTGAGCGACTGAACTGAGCCGAACTGAAGCTGCCAGCCCCAGGTCTGAGGCTCCTCATCAGCAGGCTCCCACTGAGAGGCCCTGGCAGGAAGCCGAGGGTGGGAAGAAGGGAGAAGACAGGGTAACTCTCTTCCCCTGTCTCTGCCTCAGGCCTCCTGGGGTCAGAACAGGTCAGGATGATGCCAGCTTTACCAGCTAACCCCTCCTCTCTCTGGCCCTCCAGCCGGGGAAGGCAGAAGTTTCCCACTGCTGCTCATCTCTGACTGCCTCATTGTCCCCATGTAGCGTCTCAGCTCTTTCATTCTCTCGGTAACTGATTCCCTGCACTGAGTACTTTAAGTACTCAAGCAGTTCCTGTTTCTCTGGACAGACAGTTCACTTCCCTGTGACCCAGTAGTCGCCGCCCCAGGTATATACTTTAGAGTGACTCTCCAGCAGGTGTCTAAGGAGGGATGTGCAGGGACATTTGCAGGGTGGCGTTTGGGAAAATGGAGAGGTGGAAGTAGCATGGACACCCGTTGCCAGAGGAGTAGTTCTATGA